TATAGACACTGTTGTCTTCCTCTGGGATGCGAGTACAGATATAAGATTAGAATCCACATTAATGTACAGAGAAAAGATTTGAGAACATGGAAGTTGATTTTTGACACAAGCAGTTTCAGTGGAATTATAAAATATGAACAATGGTCAATTGGAATACATTCAAGAGAGGGGGAAGAAGGGCTGGAGATGGCTTCTTGCAGAAGACCTGGGTTTGAATCCCAGCATCCACATGGCAGCTAACAACTGTTCGTAACTCCAGTTCCAGGGGATCTGACAGCCTCTTCTGTCTTCTGTGGGCATTGCATGACACAAGTGCACTTACCTTCATGCAGGCATAACATGCATAGACATAAAATATAAAATAAAAAATAAAAAGGGGGGGAAGACTCGAGATGGCAAAAATGTACTGGAAAGTTTGCCAGAAATTCATGTAGAGTTAAAACAGGAGTTCTGAGTTCACATGGGAGAAATTGTAACATGTTTGCATCTGGACAGTGGAAATGAACTAGTGGAAAGGGAAAAAATGGAGATGCAGGAGGGGAGAACTATCAGAGTTCATGAACTGAAGAGTATGCTTGAAGCAACCGGGAGAGGCTGACCTCTCTGAGTGTAGGTTTATCCACAGTAACAGGACAAAAGACCGCTTAGTTGCACAGATAAAAGCAGGCTGTCAAATTTGGAAGTTTGGTGGCTTCTATTTTCTTGGTGAAATGGGAAGCAAGACCATCATCTGAGAAAGAAGAGGTGTGAGGGGTCCCCGGGAAGAATGGCTGAGTTGAAGGGCTCATTTTTGTACCTATTATAGCTTCTTCGTTGGACATGGGGATGAATAATTTGGGTTAGCTGGCAGGGTCAGAGCCCTGTACGCTGGTTTGGAAGAATCCAGAAATCTCTGAGAAAGGCCCCTGGCTTCTTGGAATTCCACCTGTTTGAGTCATTTTCTTGTAAAACCTGTATGGTCACTTCACACCCTTTAACTCTTTCAGTGAAAATAACTAAAAACTCACATACATGTATTTATTCACTATTTAAGACAAACTCCTACTTCAGACGTTTCTATGGTTTTCCACTGTCCTCAGGAAAAAGAAAACCCTTAGCCTATAACGCTCTGCATGGAGTTGCCCTCCCAGCCTGCTCTGCCCACTCAGTTGGGCTCTTCTGGGCTGCGCTTTGAAAGCCCGTATACAAGTCTCTGCCTTCCGGTCTTTTTGAGATAGGGTCTCCCTGTAGCCCCAGCTAGCCTGGAACTCGCTGTGTAGAACAGGCTGGCCTGGAACTCACAGAGATCCTCCTGCCTCTGCCCTCCTGAGTGCTGGGATTAAAGGCCTGCGCCACCTCCCCTCTCCTGCCTTCATTCTGTTCCTGCCTCCGTTTCCCCTTTCAATCATCAGTCTCTGCTTCAGCCTTTCTGGCCCAATCACACATCCAGATGTGTTCAGCCGCATGCTGGACTCGCCCTTCCCAAACTCCAAGCATTTCAATCAGAGAGACTTGTGAAAACCCCAATAGGAGCGGACCAGTTTGCATCCCTTCAGCTTTAAAAGTTCGAGAACAGGTCCCTCAGGGGAGAGTGGGTGCTCAGGGAGCATCAGCCAGATGAACCAGTGTCGTGACCCTTGTTTCTGGGCAGCCACCAAAGAGTCTCGTGTGGGGAAAAGAAGGCAGACTAGGAGCTGAGCCGAGCAGACCTCCTGAGGCTGGGAGGACGCCGCCCGCGGTGCCTTTCGGTCCAAAGGGCCGGCGAGAGAGAGGATGCGGCGGGATGTCATGAGGTTGGGAGACCAGATGGTCTGGCTGGCAGCGCGGGGACAGACGGAGAAGACTACATCCACAGCCATCGCAGGAAGAGGGGAGGGCCCGCAGCGGGCGTGTAGGCATAGTCACCGGCTGACATCCACACCTGAACAGGTCGGACGGACCACCCACCAGGATGCAAGCCAACAGCTACGCGGACCCGGCGGGCCCGCGGAGGGGCGTCACGCGCCTGCGCATTCCGGTCCCGCCCCGCCCCGCCCTCTGCGTGCGCACCGCCTAGAGCCCGCCTCTCCGAAAGACTGCTGGCGCATGCGGTCCGACTGCGCACTGGCTACTCGGGCTTCACCGTGCGCACGTAGGCCTAGTAGTGGGGCTGACGCGAGCGTCTGAAACCGGCCTCAGGTAGGCTGACTCCAGGAATCCCGGAGGAGCAGCTCTCGGGTGCAGGAGCCTGTGGCTCCTGAGCCCGGCGCGGACGGCCCCGCCGCCGGGGGTGATGGACGCCTCTTCTTACCAATCAGGGGCGAGGTAGCCCGGCGTTCTGCCCAATCGGCTGCGTGTTTAACGGGAGTGGGGCGGGCGGTCCGGGCCCGCGAGGTGCCGGCTCCCGCGCGCGGGCCACGCGGCCCTGGGCTGAGGAGGGAAAGGGTTGACCCGGGTCGGGGTGGCAGCCGAGTGGCGGCGCGGGGCAGCTGGGCTCGCTGTGGCGGGGAGCGCCAAGGCCGTCCCCGTGCCCAGGCCTCCGGCCCGCGGCGCCGCCCTTGGCCTCAAGGGCTCGGCCCGGCCCACCGCGGAGGGGGCTTCCTGTCGCCCTCGGTCCGCCGCGTGGGGTGGGCCGGCAGCCTGCTGGTCGTCGCTGCCCCGTAGGTGGGGGAAGGGCTTGTGGCCACGCAGGGCCTCCGGGTGCGGGCCCCGCGGCTTAGTCCTCCCTGGCGGCGGGCTTGAAGATGCCGGCGTTGTGGAGTTCACTAGGCGTGTGGCGCACTGACGTCCACACTCATAATTTGGAATCCTCCGCAGCCCTTTGACGCGGGTGGGGCTCGGGGTCTCCTCCCTCTCTCTGGTCCGGTGAACTCAGGTTTCGGGCACCTCGGAACTAGATCGAGGTTCCATCACACGGGGGTAGGGGGTGGAGGGTGGGGTGGACCAGGGGCTTGATCTCACAACTTAATGTTTTAAAAAAGCTTTTCCATATTTAAGTTTCTCTGATGCATCTTGTGCTGCGTTACTGTGTTTGAAAACCTTCCTGACGTCTCATCACCTTCAGAAAAAAAGTACAGCTTGGGCGTTCAAATTGGCCCTAAATTGGCTCCTTCTCAACCCATCCCCGTACATTTTCTTGGTTCGTCCTTTCCACTCACCTGTCTGTTCATGCCGTTGCTGTGGTTTAGCTCACACAGTCAGTTTTTACGGCCCATTGCAATGGGCTTTTACGCCCATTGCAAGGCAAGCTCGCCAAACAAGAGCCCCGGATTTTCCCTTACCCCAGGTCATCCCTCTCTGTCCTCTGAAGGGTTCTGGTTACATCACCTTGGTCTTGGCTCTGTGCGCTTTCTTTTTCCCCTTTTAGAGCCTTGGTGTGTTGTCCCTCTGCTTCCCTCCATCAAACTGTTACTCATTTATCTGTAAACGTTCGAACATGACTGTTAGGCACTTGAAGTACGGGTCCAAATTGACTAATTTTTGTGGTGTCCCCAGCATGTGAGTAACCCTTACATAGTAGGTAGTCTGTAAATGTTAGGAATGGGTCCTCTCCCCCTGCATCTTGGGGGCTGTTGGAATATTTATTGTCTGTCAAAGAAAAACAGACAACTAAGTGTGAACAGGTGAGGTTAGTCTTGCAGAAGTCCCCCGTTCTGAACTTGCTCAGGGTGGCTAAGGAACATCCAAAACTTAGAGGAGACTATAGTCTTAGTAAATTATGTCTAATTAGGTCTAAAATATAGCCAAGTTTGATATACATGTGTTAAGGAACCATTCTATTATGAAATGACAGAGTAGGATTTCTCCAAAATAATAGGCACTTGGTTTGAAGGAAGTTGCATACTGTATACCCCTTTGGGGTTCACAATCCATATTAACTTACTGAACACTCTTCAAAAGTTTGGGGTTAAAGAAACCAAATGACTTTGTTTCATTGGCTTTTTTTCCCTTTATCCATAAAGCCCCCATCCTTTTTGAGGCAGGATCTCAATATGTAGACCAGGGTGCCTTCCAATTTGTAGCAACTTCCCCTTCCTTCCTCTGCCTCCCAAGTGCTGGGATTACAGGCATGTGGCACCACACCCAGCCATAAAACTCTTTCTGGAAAACTATACATTTTACAGAAATGCGTTTAAAGAAGATTGCAGCAGAGGATAGAAGAGCTGGATAGCATTCCTTGCTGTTTGAGGGGAAAGACATTTCAAGCATTGTCTCTGTGCCAAGTGTGTTCACTCCTGTTCTGGGGAGGACTGGGGCTGGAAAATGCTTCAAGCAGAACTCCCCTTTCCTTGTTCCTCCCTTAGCTTATTTTGGATATAATTTGCTTTACATGGAGGGTTCCTAGAGGAGAAAATGCCTTCTCCATGCCAAAGCAAGCTTTTGCTGCCACTTGGTGGTTGCATTTCTGTTTTTTTGAGACAGGGTCTTGCTGTAGCCCCAGCTGCCTTGGAACTTACAGAGATCCTCCTGCCTCTATCTCCCGAGTCCTGGGATTAAAGGCAGCATTTCTGGTTTTGGTCACATTTGGATTTGCTGTCCGGCTGGGGACTGGTGATAAATGAATCTTGCTGAGTGTGTAACTTTCTTACCCCTTATTCATGCCTGACTCTACTGTCCTTTCACCCACCTCACTTGATCTCTCATCTCTTTCCTTCCCTCCATGCCACTGCTTCATTACTCCTGGGATTTAGTCTGTTTTCCCCCAGTTAGTCTGTCTTCCCTGTTTGACTCCTGCTCATTGTGTGCTTCAGACTGGGCTATTACCTGAGCTCCAGCATGTGCATCTTCATGCGGTACACTATTGTTTAGCCAAAAAATCTTTCAAGGGAATTGGAATGTTTATCTAAGACTGCCATTTTTTTCCCTATATAGGGGCCATATTGAGGCACCCGATATCCCAGAATCTGGCAGTGAAGCTGGTAAACTGGCTAGTGTTTAGGGCACACAGTTTAGAGCTATTCTCAAGGTTGCTGTCAAAAAGGGTACATAGTAACTGACAGATGTAGTATTTGAAGTGTGTGAATTTTTCCTTCCAGGTCAAAAAGGAAAATGAAGTACATTCTAGTCACTGGTGGTGTTATATCAGGGATTGGAAAAGGAGTCATTGCCAGCAGTGTGGGCACAATACTCAAGTCATGTGGCTTACATGTAACGTCAATTAAAATTGACCCTTACATTAACATTGATGCAGGAACATTCTCTCCTTATGAGCATGGTAAGCAAATGCATTTTCCCCTCTCTCTAATAGTAATTGTGTAAAAGAACAGGCCAGCTCTTGGGGATTAGATGTACATTTTTGCATGACTTCTATTTTTCTGCCTTCTAGAATGGTCCTTAGTGTATAGTGTAGCTGAAAGATGCTTTTTTCCTCCTCCCACTTGGACCAAGGGGAAGCAGATATTTTAATATCTTAATGTTTAGAATCCATGTTTCTGTGATAGAAGTGATTTTTTTTTTTAATTTGGTGATAGCTGAATGAAAAACTGTCTTTTTTTTTTAAAGATATATTTGAGAAGAGGGAGTAGGCTTGTTTTGTGACCTCAGTCTTTAGAAATTGGCATGGCTAGGCAGAGGCTGGAAGAGTAGCTTTTAGCCTGTTACAACAAGTGTCTTCTGAGAGGTGCCTGAGCAGAGGCTGAGGGCTGCTTTGTAGGAACTCAAGCAAAGTAGATGCTGAATAAGGATCTTTGGAGGTAAGTGGAAGATTTGAGGGCATAAAGAGAGTGGGAAAATAGTGTTTACTTCTTTGTTGTACTGAATTCTTTTTCAAGGTGTGATGGATGATTAAGTTACCTGACAGACATTGCTTAAAATTGGAGAAGTACTTTTAAAACATACCTTTAAGTTGGGTCTGGTGGCCTGTAATCCCAGCATTTGGGAGGCTGAGGCAGGAGGATTGCAAGTTTAAGGACAGCCTGGACTACATAGTTCAAGGCTAGCAGGGACTATATATAGCCAGACCCTGTCTCAAACAAAATAAAACAGTGAAACTTATAAGCCTTCATGCCTCAAGTTTTAAAATTCTGTACTTTCACTTTTCCTCCCTAGTGTTGAAGTAAAAATTTGTAAGGATGTGTGTAGTATCATTAGTAAAAGAGCCATATACTAGAGCCGGTTCTGGGGATGGAGCTCATGACTTTGTGCTTGTTATCATCATATATTCAGCCTTTGGAGAGATTTTAATACCCTATTATTTTAATTTTATTTTATGTGGAAGAATGTATTACCTACATGTATGTAAGTGCACCTTGTCGTATAATGCCCGTGGAGGTCAGAAGAGAGTGTCGTGTCCCCTGAAACTGTGATTTCACCATTACAGATGGTTGTTAGCTGCCATGTGGGTGCTGGGAGCTGAACCTGGGTCCTCTGTAAGAGCAGCCAGTGCTCTTAACTGCTGAGCCATCTCTCCAGCCCCTGGAGAGATTTTAGTATAAAGTTCATGAGCAGAGGGTGAGTTAAGCTCTCTGAGGGGGAGATAAGACATTTTTTTCTTTTCTTGTTTTTGAACTTGTCCTCTATTTTGATGTCAGGAATGACTCATTCTAGGCAACATTTCTGAAACGAAGTTGCAAGGAATAAATGTGAAACAAAGGACTGGGGAATCTGGAAAGTTGGTTAACTTTGTTTAGAACTGTAGTGCAGCTCAGAAGCTGGTTTTTAAGATCAACACTATCTTCCTATGAATATGTCCTAGGAGTTTTGAATAGCGCCCTACTTGCATTGTAATTTAAGTTTCTTTGCTGGGAGGAGTCTGACTCTTTCTCTAGGAGCAGATGCCACATTGCTGTGAAGTCCCTTCATCCACAGCCTCTAAGGCTGGCATTTCCTCCATCCCATGCTCTTTCATAACTTCCTGATAAAGAGTGAGTTCAGGCTGGAAGTATGAAGTACTCTTTTGGAGAATGATTGGTCATTTTTCTTTAAATGTCATATTTAGTTTTCTAGAAATAGATTTCTCTGCTTTGTAATTGAGTTAATATGCAGACTTTGTTATGCCTGAATGTTTGTATTTCAAGATTGAAGTTGCTCCACGACACACATTTTTCATGTCCTTCCATGTGCTCACTCTTGACCATAGGAGAAGTCTTTGTGCTGGATGATGGTGGAGAAGTTGACCTTGACCTGGGAAACTATGAGCGGTTCCTGGATATCCGCCTCACCAAAGACAATAATCTGACCACAGGGAAGATATACCAGTACGTCATTAACAAGGAGCGCAAAGGAGATTACTTGGGGAAAACTGTCCAAGGTAATACGAGATTTACTTACCTTTACAGTTTAAAAATCTCAGCCAGTTTGATTTCTCAGGAGTATAATCTTTTGTTTTTTAATGTGATTTCAGCATTCTGTCAAGGTATTATTACTAAAATATCCTTTCAGTTAAAAATTCAGTATTGTGCCAGGTGTGGTGGCACGCGCCTTTGATCCTAGCACTCTGCTTAGGAGGCAGAGGCAGGCAGATCTCTGTGAGTTTGAGGCCAGCCTGGTCTACATAGCAAGTTCTAGACCAGCTAGGGCTACAGGGAGACCCTATCTCAAAAAAAAAAAAAAAAAAAAAAAAAATTCAGTATTTTATGGCAGTTTACTCAAAAAATAATTTGAGAAAGCTTCTGTTGCTCCAGGAACGACATTGAAGCATGGTTTGAGTCCAGAGATCTGTTGTTTTGTGGATTTTTTTTTTTTTTTTTTTTTTTGGTGCTGATCAGCAAAGGCAGCTCAATTGGGCAGTAAGCCAAGCGACTTGAGTAGATGGAGAAGAGATTAGCTTCCTTTGTGTATGCTAGTTTTCAGGCTTTTGGTCTGTGTCATGTGGGCCAGTGGGAATCTGAGAAGTGGGCTTCTGGACCCTCCCAAGCTTTTACCAGCACAGTGTACATCTGTATGCTGTTTGGGGGTTTTATGTGAGTAGTCATTTGAGAAGAGAGTTCTTTAGAAAGGTGGTGTCGGGAGACCATTAGTCTAGTGGAATGATAGCTGCTCCAGATTGGGGGATGGGCTTTCCTTTGAATGATGAGCAGATTTGCTTTTGACTTTTCAGCCCTATGAACACAGGCAAATCCCATAACCTTTTGAGATGTGGTTTCCTTGTGTGTAAAATGGGAGATAGTAGCAGCATCTGCCTTTTGTTAGGAGGTCTAAGGAGCTGCATCAGTATGCTGTTTCTCCAAGTTCCTGACACACAGAAAGGATCAGTGAGCGTTAAAATGATGTTGGTTGTAATAATTAAAAAAAAAAATGTTGGTGTGTACTTTGCTGTTCTGGTATGTTCATTCATCCATTTATCATTCATCACATATTTATTAAATATTCACTGTGGTCACAGTCTCACTGGTACTCAGAATATGTGATGAAGAGATCACTGAGGTCAAGTCCTCATGGCAGTTTGGTCATAGGACAGACAAATAAAGCAAGATGTGTGCTAGGAGGCATGAAGGAAATAATGGATTAAGGCCAGAAAGCATGATTGGCAAAGCCATGCTGGAGTAAGTCAGGGGAATGAATCCAGAAGAGGACCTTTGAGCTGAGGAACAGATTATAAGGAAGAGTTGAAAGAGAAGGCACAAGTACGCAGGCCCAAGACTACAGAGGGATCTTTGGTTAAGGAATGGAGGGGAGGCTGGTGAGGCTGAGGCACAGTGGCCTGGAGTAACAGGCAAAGAGGTCACTCAGTGGGTCTTCTGTTGGGATTTATGTAGAGCACTGAACACATTAAATGTGGGAGCAATGAATTCTGATTTGCATTTTTTAAAAGCCACTTAGGCTACACTGTGACATAGGTAACGAATATCCTGTGCAGGGAGTGTTGCTGTTTAACCCCAGATTACTCCAATTAAACAGTCATCTCTGCATCTGTACCTTAGGAACTTGCAGTTTTGAGTCCATCAACTGTAATTTTAAAGAATTATCTGGCAGTGGCTGGCTGTTAACTGGATTCTGTCATGCTAGGCTGTCTTACAGAATTTTCTCATCTTTATATGAAGTAGAGGTTATTACCCCTACTTAACAGATGGGAAAACCAATCTTTTTTAAACTTTTTATTTTTATTTTTTTTATGTGTATTTGTGTATTGCCTGCATGTGTAGGTAAGTGTACCCGTGTGGTACAGTGCCCATGGAGATCAGAAGAGGCTTTTGGATCCCCTGGTACTGGAGTTATGGAGAGTTGTTAGCTGCCATGTGGGTGTTGGGATTTGAACCTGGGTCTTCAGCAAGAACAACCAGTGTTCTTAACTGCTGAGCCATATCTCCAGCCCTGGGAAAACCAGTCTTAAAAACAAAGAATTAATTGGCTCAGTGATCCACAGCCAGTAAGTGGTGAACTAAAATTTGAACCCAGATCCTAGATACTGTGCCCCCACCGCTCTGCCGTGTTATACTGTCTCTGTCTGCTTAGATTATCTACCCTTTGGTAAACTGTAAAAAGATGCACAGGGTTCTGGTAGCCTGTTGTTCCTGGAAAAGCTCTTGGATATGATGTACCCACTGCAGCCTCAGCTGTGAGCAGTAGGGGTAGCCACGTGGCCTTGTGTCTGTGTGTGAAGGTAGACAGATGGCACAGGCCAGGTGTTTTCAGTTGATTCCAGGAGCCACTCAGCCTCATTCTTTTTGCGGTGCTTCCAGCATTAACTTAGAAGTGTGGAAGGGATGCCTTGGGAAATGTGGCCCCAAGATTTGTTGAGTTATTTAAAGGAGCTTCAAAAGAACTTAGTATTTTTATTTTATATGTATAAGTGTATTGCCTGCATGTATGTAAATGCACCCTGTCGTGTAATTCCTGTGGAGGTCAGAAGATGGTGTTAGATACTCTGGCACTAGAGTTACAGATAGTTGTTAGCTGCCATGTGGGTGCTGGGAATTGAACCTGGGTCCTCTGCAAGAACAGCCAGTGCTGTTAACCAATGAGCCCTTCAAAAGTATTTTTAATGACTCCATTGCTATTTTGTCTAGGCAAAAGAGTATGCCAGTTTGTTTTAACAATAAATATATTTGCTAATGTCATCAATGCTGATTGGCAGTTACAAGTTTCTTTTCTCTTTCCCAGTTGTCCCTCACATCACAGATGCAATCCAGGAGTGGGTGATGAGACAGGCGTTAATACCTGTAGATGAAGATGGCCTAGAACCTCAAGTGTGTGTTATTGAGGTTTGTATGATTCTTACCTACAGGAACCAGTGCATTCAGTCCTCTCCTTAGCCATTGAGCACTGTAGGACCATGCTCAGTGAAGCCCTTGACCTTCCGTTTCTGTCCTCACAGTGTATTGCAGCATGGCAGCTAGGGGCACAGTAAGTTCTGTGGAATGGCACAGGGAAGCAGTCCTTGCCTGAATGATGTGCCTTTTCCAGCATGTACAGGACCATTTAACACCAACTACCAGAAAATACCATTGCTTTCTCTCTGGCAGAATGTTCATCCCTGAGTGGGCTTCCTTTGGTTTTGGGTTCTGTACTCCTACCTGCTGATCCTAGGGTTGAATCTCAGAATTCCAGAAGTTTTGTTATAACTGATGCTTTTTACTAGAAAAGTTATTTATGGTTAACTAAGGAGCTAAATTTAGGTTTTTGTTATTTTCTTTATTGTGAATCAAAGGTATGTGAGAGACAGTCTAGTTCCTGGTACCTTTCTCACCTGATGTTTTTCTTAAAATGCTGGGGCAGTTTCTGTAGTAGCCTTGAATCAGGAGTCTATCCAAAAGCATCAACTTTTAGCACAGAGTAGTGTCTTTTGACTGGCATGCTGTAGGGCTGGGGTGTTCACATCACATTTTAAGTGGTCACTGAATTGAGGGGACAGCCAACATTAGAAAAAGATTGGGTGCTTAATCTCTAAGATGGCACTGTTCTTCCAGCTTGGTGGGACGGTTGGAGATATTGAAAGCATGCCCTTCATCGAGGCCTTCCGCCAGTTCCAGTTCAAGGTCAAGAGGGAGAACTTTTGTAATATCCATGTCAGTCTAGTTCCTCAGGTAAGGCGTTGCAGTTGGACTTTGGGGGAGGAAAGGTTGATTATTTTCACTCTTTATCTCATAGCTTCCAGAGATACAGGAAACAGGAAATAAAGAACTCTGTTTATTATAATCACATGTTTTACACAAGTGTGGTACATACCACTGTGTGTGTGTGCGTGTGTGTGAAGGTCAGAGTAACTTGTGGGATCAGGTTCTTTCCTTCCATCTTGTGAGTTTAAAAGCTTGAACTCACTTGTCAGATTTGGCAGCAGGTGCTGTTACCTGCTGAGCCATCTCATTGGCCCTTAATCACGTGCTTTGAAGGGTCAAATGGAAAACATTTGAAAAATGAATCAAGGAAGTTTCAGTTGAAGACGGTGGATTGAACATGTGTGCTTGTTTTTACTATCTAGCAAAATGAGAGTTAAAAAATTTTTAAGGCAAAAATTCAAAAAAATAGATAGCAAAAAGGAGTCTGGTAATAAAAACGAAGATTTCACAAAGCACATGGACACACAGAGAGCCATGGAAGTGCTGGACTCTGAACCCACAGCAGGGAAATCTGGGAAGCAGTCCTTTTTGCCCTGTAGAAGCTCCAGGTCCCTCTGAATTGGAGTGACACTGGGGCTCATTGTAACCACTGCTTCAGAGGAGGTGACCCTCACACTTTCCCTAACGTACACATTGGGCATCTGCTTCTCGGCATAAGATGGCCGTGGGGAGAGTTTCTGGACAAGCAGACAGTGAAGATAGTTGAGGGCAGTGATTCCAAACCACAAATATACTGTGCTGTTGAGGTGCCTTGCTTGTCTTCCACTGGTCAGGTCTCAGAATCTTCATAGCCAGGCTTGGCCTCTCCACGTGGGAGGTTAGAGACTTCTATGTGTGACTAGCACAGGAAAAGGCACTGTCCCCAGGGCCTCCAGTGAAACAGGCCAGCCACATACCCCCAGTGACCAGCCTGCTCCTCATAGAACACTACCAGTTTGCTTTTAGGAATGAGCTGGCAGCCAGTGACTAAAAGGTCAAGTGTATGTGCTCAGTAGGAACATGAGAAAGGAAAGAAGTCTTTGAAGTTAAGAACTGGATAAACAGATGAAAGGAGGGAGTTGATAAAATACCCAGAAAGTAGAGACCAAGAAACAGAAAGTAGGAGAGAAAAAGTAAGAAGGTGGAGGGTTTGTCTACTTCTGTCCTCTACATAGCAGGAAAATAAGAAACAGAAATGGTGAGGGAAGTGTCCTCTTAGCCAGGTCATCAGGCTGTGGCCCAGGGTCCAAGGCCACTAAAAACAGGTTTGTTTTATGGAATTAGATTCCCATCCCTAAGTTGATGTGTTATCTGTTGCTGCTTGGGCCTTGTGGCCCGTGTGGTTTGTCACAACAATAAAAATATCTACTGGGTGGTTTTTGTTTTTTTTTTTTTTTGGTCTTTTTGAGACATGGTCTCCTTGTAGCCCCAGCTAGCCTGGAACTCACTATATAGATCAGACTGGCTTAGAACTCACAGAGCCTGCCTCTGCCTCCCCAGTAGAGTGCTGGGATTAAAGGCGTGTGCCACCATGCCTGGCTAATACTGGGTTTTAAAGACAGGATCTTACTATGTAGCTCAGATTTGGCCTGGAACTCACTGTAGTCTAGGCTGTCTTTGAACATCTGGCAGGCCTCCTGCCTCACCCCCGGTAAGATTATAGGCATGAGGCACTGTGCCAAGCCCAAGCCTAAAGTATTTATCTGGCTCTTCACAGATTTTCTGACTTCTGATCTAAACAAGGAAACTATAAGTTAAGTTCTAAATTGAAAACCCACTGAATGCCTAGCATATTGGATGAAAAATGGCTGACACTAAGGCTCATAGTTATAAAAGTACAGAATAATAGAGCAGATGTCTTCAAAGGTATAAGGAAAAGAAGAGTCAGTATGACAAAGCGTGGAGTCAGAACACTGAAGCCATTGCATTGAAGATTTTTATTTTTTGGTCTTTTTGAGACAGGGTCTCTCTGTAGCCCCAGCTGGCCTGGAACTCACTATGTAGACCAGGGTGGCCTTGAATTCACAGAGATCTACCTGCCTCTGCCTATCCAGTGCTGGGATTAAAGGCGTGTGCCACCATGCCCAGCTTGGATTGAAGATTTTAAGGGAAGGTTATTTTACCAGAGAACTCTAGACCCGGCAAATCTTTTTTTTTTCTCCCAGTTTTATTTATTATTTTTATTTTATGTGTATTGCCTGCATGTGTATAAGTGTACCTGTGTCATGCAATGCCCGCCCACAGAGGTCAGAAGAAGGCATCAGATCTCCTGGAACTGAAGTTATGGATGGTTGTTAGCTGTCAGGTGGATGCTGGGATTTGAACCCCAATCGTCAGCAAGAGCATCAGTGCTTATTAAGGTCCCCGAGCCATCTCTCCAGCTCCAAGACCCAGCAAATCTTTAGTATGGGAGAATAAGGAAGATTTAGTACAGGAAGGAAAAGTATCACATGGACTTACCTGAACCACCGTTAAATATGCAAAAGCCTGGATGCTGGAAGAGACGTGTAGTGGGGGCAGGGGAATGAGAGAGGTCAATAGACTATGTTTTAAACAAGTGCCAGGGAGTAGCAATAAAGTACAACAGAAGACTCAGGAGATGATGTGGGCTGGGGGTGAAGCTCAGGGGCAACTCTTGTCCTTAGCGTGAGCAAAGCTCTTGAGTTCAAGGTTCTGCCCCCAAATAAATGGAACCATTGTAGGGTTTGGGGAGTGGGAGGAGTAGATGAGACTGAGTAATACTATTCTTTTAAGACAAACCCCATAGAACTGTTTGACTCTAAACTACGCATGTGTAGCTTCAACAAGAATAAAGACTGAATTATACATATCAAATTTTCTATTGAAAGAGGTTTAGGGAAAAGTCATACTTGGAAGTTATCATTGAGAAACTAATCCCCTCCCCCCCTTTTTTTATAAAACAGCCAAGTTCAACAGGGGAACAGAAAACAAAACCCACCCAGAACAGTGTTCGTGAGCTTAGGGGACTCGGGCTTTCCCCAGATCTGGTAAGATTCCTAAGTGCCTGTTTTTGGTGTCCTCTCCCACATCTAATTAAAACCGTACCTTTGTGGCAGGATGAACTTTTGTCTTGTCAACAGGCCTTTCATGGTAATTGATGGTGTACAGAGCAGTTTGGTTTCTGTGACTTTTCTTGCTGGCATGTGTGAGGACTTACACTTCTGAGTCTTGTTTCCTCTCTCAGTCCTTCATTTCCTTTTCCACTTCTCCCAAGAACACTTGAGGAGGAAAACTAATGAGCTCCTGTAGTTTACGTGGCTTCCCTTGCCATCTTCTCTGTGCTCTACTTGGGATTTAGGAGTTTTGATTTTGAAGACAAGCAGCCATGTTTTCATGGATCCTGTGCACTGCCGACGGACATTGCCATCCATTTTCACACTGTTATGTCTATATTAATTCCAGTTGGGGAGGTCCCAGCTTTCTAACTTACCTTCTGCCTAAATACCCTTGATTTCTTTACTGCTAGGTAGTATGCAGGTGCTCAAATCCTCTTGACACGTCTGTGAAAGAGAAAATATCAATGTTCTGCCATGTGGAACCTGAACAGGTAAGTAGAAATTCCACCTGTGTGGGTATGGTTTTTGCTTATTTAATTGCCTAAAGCCTTGACCATGATCCATTTTGTGAGGTTGTCTCATAATTAGAGGCACTGGGCTGTCCCCTAGATCCTCCAACACAGCTTCCTTTCTTTTGTTCTTTGTGCTCCCTCCAAGCTGAATGTCTTTCTGTTTCTCTAGGGTCCCACTTTCTGACAAGCCCAGGACCTTGTGTATGTTAAACAAGTACCCTTACCATTGACCCATCCTTAGCTCTTAGTGTTTGGTTTTGGTTTTTTTGTTTTGGGGGCGGTTTTGAGACAGGGTCTCTCTGTAGACCCAGCTGGTCTGGAACTTACTATGTAGACCAGGCTGCCTCTATCTCACAGCATCCACTTGCCTCTGCCTCTTGAGTGCTGGGATTAAAGGCATGTGCTACCACACCCAGCTAACCCTTTGTTTTTTGAGATAAGATCTTGCTGTGTAGCCCAGGCTGTCCTAAACTTGCTATGTAGTTCATGATTGCCTTGAACTCCTGATTGTCCAGCCTCAGCCTCTCAAGTGCTAGAATAACAGGTATGTTCCCCCAGCCTGGCCCTGGCTCTGATTTTGTACTTGCTAAGGGATCAGTTTCTCCCTGTTGGCCTGGTATCTCTTGTTCATTTTAAACTATTCTAGGCCTAGCTAGGACATAAATGTTACTGGTGGTCAGGGTCTGGGCCCAATGTTTCCAGGTTCTTGGCCTGTTGTCCAAAGAATTGAAAGTAAGGGCTCAATACAGATTTGCAAAAGAAGCAAGATAACTTATTGGAGCAAAGTGATTGATGAAGGATAGACTGTCAAGAGTGACAGCAGCCACATGAAAGAGTACTTGAGGGCCCTGATGACTGTCTGGGGCTTCTTTTATTGGGCTGAAGAGAAGAAGGAATTGCTTACTAAGGGATGTAGTTTGGGTGGTTCTCTAATTTATAGATCAAGTCATATTCATTTCTCCTATTGCTCATGACCCTTCCTGTAATGTATCTGATTTTAATCATATGTACAACCAGTTATGCACAGTCATAAGCTGGTAAATAGAGGATTCTCTGTTACTAGAATCTCAGTTTTGCCTGTGCTAAAACCAGTTCAGGTCAGATTGGTTTTTCTATTCTTTATAGCCAGATATGTTACGTTGGATAGAAACTATCTAAATCATGTTACTGGGGCCAGGAAACTTACACTATTGTTCAGAGATGGAGTCCAGGTAGCCTGGTGCAGATGGGGGGATTGAGGGGTTCTGAGGTTGCTAGGTGTATTGTTGGGAGAGGGATGTGTGCATGGTACTTGTAGGTGAAGGAGCTAAGTTTCCAAGTGTATTATAAGAGGGTATATGCATAACCAAAACCAAACGGGGTTCCCAAGCTTCAGTTGTCTACTGTGTTTGCCTGCCTCTTTAGTGCCACAGCCTCTTTACCTTCAAGGCTAATCTTCTGTCTGGGTTACCTGTATGTCTCTCACATGATGGTAGTGAGCCTTTCCTGTGCCCCTTGATATATGTGTGTACCACATGTGGAGGGCAAGGACCACCTTATTTAACTCTCAAATGTCTGGTGCCTGGTATCAGGGTGTTGTGGGCTCCCACACGCATTTTAGTATGTTACTGTGTAAATGGAGCAACTTTAGATACTGTAGTATCTAAATGTGGTGCTTAGTTATGGAAGTACTAGTGGAAATAGAGATTATGGCATTGGTCAGTGTATTCATCAGCTTCTCATTACTACAACAAAATCCCTGAGGCAACTAACTTAATAAAAGTTTATTTAGTTATAGTTTCAGAGGCTGAAAGTTCAAACAGCATAGTGCAGACTGTGGAAAGGTCCAGTGGTGGCTACTGGTTATACATAGAAGAAGGATCAATCCAGGAAGCAGAGGTAGGGACCAAGTTGCTTGTGGGAACTCAAGGGTCATAGGAAAAGTGTCTTAATTGTTCTCAAGGGCAGAGTCTCCCAACATCCCAAGGACTGCCTAGGAGGCCTAGCCTTAAAGGATCCACATCACCTTCCACTTCTGCCACCCTGGGACCAACCTTCCAGTCACATGGACCCTTGGGAACACCAAACCATATAGAAGCCACAGCACTCAGGTTTGTCTGAAGGGAAGAAAAGAGAAGGTGCAAGGAAGACCTTGTTTCATAATAGGATTGTGCAGTTCGTTCTTTTGCTCAGTGATTGAGGGCCAGGAGGCCAAGTGTGGAGCGCCAGCTAACTTGTGGGGACAGTGAAATGGGGGTTTTAAAATAAGAGCAGTCCACTTAACATTTGGAGGAGTCTCAGGTACATGTGGTAGTGAAGGTCATTGGCCTGGCCTTGGTGTAAGTGGAGCTAGAGGAAAGACCTTGAGCTTTACAGAGGAGTCAGATTCTCCGTGAGGACTCAGGCCTCAGGACCAGGGAACCTGGACTGGCTGGGCTCCGTCAGAGGATTGTTTCATACTTAGCTCATGGAACAAAGAGTAATTCAGTTTTTCTCTGTAGCTTTATCGTGTACTTTAATTTTTGGCATTTTTCTCCTGGCAAGTGAAGAGAAGTCAGTTCTTTAGCAGAATTGATTTTCATAAAAATTATTGTCATTCACTTACAAGTATTTCCATATTTACAATAAATGTGAATTTTAGGTCTTTTACCTAATTTTAAAATTGAGTTGTTTATAAAGTTCTAAGAGTTTTTAGTCTGAGTATGTGATTTGTGGTGTCTCCGCCTCTGGCTTGCCTTTTTATTCTCTTAATAGTGTCTTGGTGGTACAGAAGCTTTTAATGATCAGTTTTTCTTTGGGGAATTGTGCTGCTTTCTGTCATGTAAGAACACTACTTAATCAGAATCATGAAGATTTTCCTCTGTTTTCTTAAAATTTTGTAGTTTTAGATCTTACCAGAGCCATCTTAACTTTGGTTTGAAAGTCATCATTTTGCATATGGATGTCCAAGTATCCCATCACTATTTGTCTTGCTGGGTGTGGTACCACACGCCTTTAATCCCAACACTCTGGAGGCAGAGGCAGGTAAATCTCTGAGTTCAAGGCCAGCCTAGTCTACATAGTGAGTTCCAGATCAGCTGGGGCTACAGGGAGACCCTGTCTCAAAAAGAAGGAAAAAAAGGAAAAGACTATCTTATGATCCTATGTCTGTGATCCTTCCTCTTCCCTCCCTTGTTTTGAACCCGAAGTCTCCTGTGTACAGCTAGGCAGATGCTCTACCTACTGAACTATATATCCCTTAGCCTTGTACTGTTTTTATAAAGGTATCTGTAAAACTTGCTTTCATAAACTTCTTATAACCATAATTTTTGTTACTATAATGAATTATATATATATGTGTCGAGGGAGCTTTTATGATTCCCTCTAAGATTCTCTTGTACAGTGGAGTTCAAGAACCAGAGTTAAGCTATTCATGGATTTGTGGACATACTTCTGTTGCTTTGAGTTAAGGTCTCAGAATAGCTCAGACAGGCCTCCAACTCAGGATTCTTCTGCCTCAGCCTCCCAGGTGCTAGAATTACAGGTGTGTAACTCCACACCTGGCTCTTTAAAAGAATTTTTGCATCCATAATTCATAATAGCTTAGCCACTAATTGTCAGTTCTATTCTTCTTGAGTCATTCTTGGAAGTTTATTTTTTTCTAGAAAATCTCCTTTTTCTGTTTTCATTTAAGATCCTCCCCTAAGGTCACATAGCTCATGGGAGGCTTTAAGCCTAATTAGTTGTTTGCTTTTATTAAATCACTTTTTTTTAAAAAACAGGTGATCTGTGTTCATGATGTCTCATCTATCTACCGGGTACCCTTGTTGTTAGAAGAGCAAGGGGTTGTAGACTATTTTCTCCGGAGACTTGACCTTCCTATTGAGAGGCAGCCACGAAAAATGCTGATGAAGTGGAAAGAGATGGCAGACAGGTTTGCCTCCCCATAAGTAGTTGGGCATGCTTGCCTTAGTCATCTTCTGCAGGAGCTCCCCCATGCTGTAATTTGTTAGGATGTGTGCCCTTGATCCGATAGAAAAGACTTACTTAGTAAGAGATGTTCAAAAGGCTCAGAAAGGATTTTATAGCCAGCCTGTGGTCGTAGTACAGATGAGGAGGTCCTGGGCCTGTACCCAGACCCCAGGCAGTGAGCTCAGATTTCAGCATTCTGCCATACCATCTCTTAGTGGTTAGACAGTCAGGACAAACAGCCTAGTGACAGAGGGTAGCACGCACTCCAGAGCCCACATGACGCTGGCCTTGGCTACAGCACTCCTGGGTCGCATCACTCCACTCCAGAAAGGACTCATCAGGGATGGATTGCTACCACCTTGATGGTGGTCTCTCATGTCTTCACTCATGGCCTCAAACAGGGAGAGCCTCACTGTACTTGGACATCACTGTGGTGACATTATAAAGGAACATAGAGGGAACACTCTCCGTGACAGTTATGTTCATTTTGACAGTTTACTTTTTAGACTTCTACCATTTATGTAGCCATTTATGTGGCTATCTTTTGTGTCCATTTCCATATAGCTATAAAATAACTGGAAGTTTTATGGTCCTTTTTTCCACAAAATGTGAGACATGGTCTGGTATTATTTACACATTACACTGAAAATTTTTAGTAAGTATAGACACACCATAATTTACTTGACTTATCACATTAACTCTTGTGAATTGTCTGTTAGGTTTTTTTGCCCTTTGAGGTTGAGATTTTTTTTAATTACATTTACTTATTTTGTATGTGTGCATGTGTGTATGTGCCTGCTTGCCATGGTCTGCATGTGGCGGTCAGAGGACAGCTTGTGGGAGTTGATTCTCTTCTTCCACTATGGGGATGGAACTCACATTGTCAGGCTTGTGTGGCAAGTGCTTTTCCCAGTGAGCCATCTGAATAGCTCAAATTTTACTTCCTTGACAAAGCCTGTCCTATCGATCTGAAAACTGCCTTTTACTGATCTGCACGCAGTACTCAGGAGATGTTCCCCCATTATATTCTTCCCAGGCATGTTTCCTTCTGCAAAAGAAATGTTTGTCTCACGATGTATGTACGTTACAGTAACTTTCTTGACCTTTATTTGCTAGATACGATCGCTTGCTGGAGACCTGCTCCATTGCCCTTGTGGGCAAATACACCAAATTCTCAGATTCCTATGCTTCTGTCATTAAAGCTCTAGAGCATTCCGCCTTGGCCATTAACCACAAGTTGGAAATCAAGGTAAGGAGGAGGGATGAGGCAGTATAACCAAGAGGTAAATGTGAACAGCCTGTGTGTATGTATTTTGAGGGTATGTGTTGGTGTGTGTGTGCCATGCGCATGAGTAGAGGTCAGAGGACAACTTGGAGTTGGTTTTCTCCTTCCACCATGTGGGTTCAAGAATTTGAACTCAGACCGTCAGACTTGGCAGCAAGCCCCTTTACCTACTGAGCCATTATGCAGACCCCAGCCTTTGTTCTTGGAGAGGCTGCATACCTAGCTGCTTTATGACTTTGGACCTCTGGATTTCTTTTTAGGGATAAGAAAGATTTGTGGTTGGCTTCTGGCTCTGAGAACACACCAGAGTATTTTCCAGAAATAATGAAAGGGAGCAGTGATGAGGGTAGAGGTAGGAAGAGCCTGAGTGTCAGTCCTTGTGGAATAGGAAGACCTGGGGAGACCCAGGCATAGTGCAAATAAATGATAAATTATGGTATACTCACAGTGGAAATATCCATACTTGTTAAATTTTTTCAATATAAAATGTAATTAATAATAAGAACCCTTCCCAGTAGCTGCTCTGGTAGGCGGTCAGGACATGGCCCTGCTGAGTGTCAGGGGTAAGAGCACAGATTGCAAATCATGGCCAGGGTTGGGGTGTGGGCTCTTTGATCCTGGATATTTTAATCTTCTTGTGCCTCAGTTTCCTTTAAGAGGGGATGGTGATAGTCCCTCCTCCTGGAGTTCTTGTAAGAACTAAATGAGTTACTGGGAACTGCTGAGGTAATGCCTGCCCTGTCGTAATTGCTGGATGTGTTCGCTCTGCTTGGTGTCCTCTGGTCCCTTTTAGAGCTTTTTCTTTCGTCTTACTGGCTGGGGCTTTTCAGAGGAAGGTGAGAAGCATGGTGCCGAGAGGCCCATGGATCTATGCCCACCATTGATGCTGTAGTTTGCCTCCTGCTTCTCCATACAGTTCTCAATGTAATCATGGCGTTTACTGTGTGCTGGTGGAAGATTCCTACACCTGATGTACGTGTTTAAGAATTGGAAGATTCCATTGCACTATTAGCTTTTTTTTTTTTTTTTGGCTAGTCCTTTCATCATTGATTTATCTACTTGAGGCTAGCTTATGGCTACCATATGCTTGGTGGTAGAGGCTGAGAGATGGTTACAGAATCACTGGTTCCTGCTTTGTAGGAATACTGAGTCTTTCAGATAGGGAGGGACACCTAGGAAAGAGGATGCATCTACCTTGGTAGATAAGTGAGAGGGCAGACTTCTCAAGAAAGCCCCCAGGAGGTTGGAAAAGGTGGAGAAGGCAGAAGGAAGGAATCATGTCTAAGGGCCTGAGGATGTGGAACAGCTGGGAATTTAATGTGAATCAGAAAAAGTTGGTAGATATTGATGAGGACTGTGGACTAGGCCAACCCAGATCTTGCCCTGAGGTTTGGGGAAGTAACTGCAAAGCATTGGGTAGGGGAGAATAGGAACAACCACAAAAAGGCTCTTTTTTAAAAAGTAGGCAAGCCAGACATGGTAGTTAATCCCAGCACTCGGGAGGTAGAGGCAGGTGGATCTCTGAGTTCCAGGCCAGTCAGGTCTACAGAGTAAAACTCTGTCTTTAAAAAAACAGGAAGAAGAAAAAGGAAATAAAAACAACCCACAAATAAACAACAACCCCCCCAACCCACTAAAACAAAAGGTAAAAGGGTTAAAGAGAGAATTCTAAAAGAAACAAGCAAGTATAATTAATCCAAGCAATTTGGGAGGCCAAGTCAAGATCAGAGCTTCCAAGTCATGTTCAACTGCATAGCAAGTTTGAGACCAGCCTGGTATACATGAGACCCTTTGTCAAAAAAAAAGGGAGGGAGAAAGGGCAATTGTAAAAGAAGATCCATATAACATGTGAAGGAACGTTCAACATCATTAGTTTTTAGAGAAATACATGGAAATGAAGTCCTGGTGATGTACTGGCACAACCCATGGGAGTGACTAAGAGCAGTGAAGAGGACAGGGAACCCCCATACCTTCTGCTGGGGAGAAATGTAAAGATGCAGCCACCTTCATATTTTGGTAACTTCTTGAGAGGTGCAGCATGACATATTTTCACGCTCAGGTATTTACTCAAGAGAAATTGGGCTGGAGGTGTGGCTCAGTTGGTAGAGTGCTTGCTAAGCAGAATCCCTGGGTTCATTATTCAGCACCACGTAAAACTGGGCATGGTGTTACATGCCTGTAATTGGGAGATAGAGGTAGAGGCAGAAGGATCAGAAGTTTAAGGTTATCCTCAACTACATAGTGAGTTGGAGGCCAGGCTGAGCTACATTAGACCCGTTTGAAAAACCAAAAGATTTTTGTACAAATGGACACATAATGCACAACAGGTGCTACAGTGTGATGTATTCATACAATGGAAAGCTACTCAGCAGTAGAAAGAAACGGACTTCTGGTAGTGCAGCAACATGGATGACTCCCTAAAACATACTAAGCAAAAGAATCCTAACACAAAAGACTCCCAACTGTGTGACTCCGTTTACACGTAAATAAAGTAAATGAAGAGGCAAAGCTAATCTATGGTGGTAGAAGTCATTCTGGGGTGTCTGGAATGGGAAGCAGGGAGGAACGGTCTGCAGAGTATTTTGATAATGGTACTCTGACTTGGTGGGTGGTGGCTACATCTTCATAGGGTACTCTCTTCATGGGGTACATTGGAAGGATACTCCTAAAATGTTCATATTTTATCATATGTAGGTTATATTGTGATACAGATGAAAAATGAAAACAAGCAATCAAAACCTGGGTGGAGGTGGCCTGGGTGTGTGGTTTGAACAGAGTGTGCTGGAGTCTCCCCAGTGGCTCGGCTGCATGAAGATCTTAAGCAGGCTGAGTATGGATAGAGGTGGATTTGAAAGTTAGAAACTTTTGTAGGGGAGCCTTAATTCAAAATATTAGTTAGAATTTTAAATTATTGGTATATTTAAATCTGAAATTAAGGGAGCTGGAACACTGATAATGTTGTAAGTGTGGCTGGATTCACAAGCTGCTTCTTTGCCTTCCTGGTGCCCCAGTACATAGATTCCACAGACCTGGAGCCAAGCACCCTGCAGGAGGAGCCTGTGCGCTACCATGAAGCATGGCAGAAGCTCTGCAGTGCTCAGTAAGTAGTAGTAGTAACCTTATCTGAAATGAGCCTGGGTTAATGAGCATGGGCCTGCACTTCCAGTGCTCGTTAGGTGCTGTTGATGATTGCCTAGTAAATGGCTTAGGTTGTACAAAAATAACTTGCCAATATAGTTGGATTTCGTGAAAATGTGTATACTTTGTCATGAGGCTTAAAGATGTTTTTCATCCAGGTCATTTAATGGGTAGACATCAGTAGAGTCTGATGAACTGTTTTTGGTGCTACTGTTGATACTATTGTCATTTTGTGGTGCTAAGGATCAATCCAGAGTACTGTGCATATTAGGCAAGCACTTTGGAAAGGCCCATGTCAGACTGAGAAGAGCACTGGAATCTGGAGGAAAGGGGAACTGTTTTATTACTGTATCTTAAAAGTTATGAACAGAATGGTGAGCCTAGCCACACATACCTGTAGTCCTAGCACTCAGGAGGCTGAGGCAGGAGGACTGTGAAGCCAGCCTGGGCTACATTGAAAGACTTATCTTACAAACAAACAAACAAACACCCCAGTCTGAACAAAGTGGTTCAGACGGGCAGTGTAGTGGCATTACAGTGATGTACTTTTTTACATGACAGAGTTCATGGTTCTGTTTGTGCTTTCTGAGTTCATAGTGTTTATAAGCACAAAGTATACCAGCAGTCTTCAAATAACAGTCTCAGCCCCTGGGAGGCTGACTATGGGAGTAAGTCCATGTCTCAGTGTTCTGGCGGTGCCTTCTTTGTGCTACTGAGAGCAGGGCTGGTGGAAAAGGTGGTTGCCTTGTGGTTTGCTCTCTGCAGTGGAGTGCTGGTTCCAGGAGGATTTGGTGTTCGAGGAACAGAAGGAAAAATTCAAGCAATTGCCTGGGCTCGGAAACAGAAGAAGCCGTTCCTTGGTAAGAGCTATGCTGTGCCCACTTCACTCTTGAGGAAAGAGGAAGAAAAGGTGCCTGGGTGTAACTAAGGCAGGGAGGTCATGAAACAAGGCATGTGTGCAGTTTTTCTAGAGAGGAGAAAAGTTCTCTTTGGGAAAAATTGAATTACATTTATTTGTGTGTGGTGTGTGTGTACACACCACAGGACCACAGCACATATGTGGAGAGTCTGTTCTCTTTCACCATATGGGTCTGAGGGATTGAACTCAGGTTGTTAAGCACCTATACCTGCTGAGTCATCTTGCCAGGTCTCCGACTCAATATGGAATGTTTATGGGCTACATGTAGATGCCATGGAATTTTGAGAGAATGAACCACCAGGTTGGAAATTCTGTTTGTAGTGCACGTGAGGTTGGCCTTTGCACCATCATTTGTCATACAGACAGCAACTGGGTGAAGTAGTTTTGGATGCTTCCTGGTCCTGCAGAGTTTAGTAGTTTTCAACTTAATCTATTTGTAAATGAGAACTTAGGGTTAGGAATGTGAACGTAAACACTGAATGGAATACTGTTTAACTGAGCAGCTTTCAGAACCTGGATCTTCGTGTACTTAGGTTCAGACTTTACATCAGTGTAGCTAAAGCATAGTGTGGGGGTCTTCTGACAGCAGGGAGATAAGAGTAACCTGGTCACCACATAGGACACAGACCGTGACAGGCTGGGGAAACGGAACTGCCTTCTCAGTGTAGATTCATCTTTTCTCTCTCCTAAGGTGTATGTTTAGGAATGCAGCTGGCAGTGGTAGAATTTTCAAGAAATGTGCTGGGATGGCAAGGTAAGTGTGTGTTTGAAAACTGACTCTTATTAGAGGGTGTGACAGTTCTTGTGTGCTAGTGGTTGGGAGCTGTGAGCAGGATACCTGCTTTCTAGTGTTGCTCAGTGTTCAGTGAAGAGGACACATTCACGGTCCTGCACCCTTCCACACATGCCCAACAGAGTGACTGAGTAGACAGTCCTGGACTCCTGCCCCTGCTTTTCCTGTCTCACTTTGAACACCATAGCCACCACCCAGATGGTGCCCAGCAGGAAGACTGGCCTATAGGAGGACTGTGCAGTTGTAAACTTGGGCTCTGGGCTTGCCAGACCTAGGCTTATATTCTAGATTTATCACTTACTATTGGTGATTTTAGGCAACTTACTTAGCCTTTCTCGGCTTCAGTCTCCTCTGTAGAATGGGTGTCAGAGTGGTTTCCACTTGACATAGTTGTAAAAATGAGGTGAAATAATATAAGCATATAGTCCCCAGCAGTTCCTGGCAGAGAGGAACTGCTCAGTGTCAGACCTACCCTTTAATGGGATTACTATGGGAGGCCACCTGACGTTTCTCACAGCTCTGGCTTCTTATTTTGTGGTTATGCTACAAAACGAAGCTCCACAAGGGATATAAAAGCAGTCAGGCTTACACAGTGCAAGTGATTCTTGGTGGCTGGCTTGAGACTAGGGCTGGGTTTCACTTTACGGTAACCTTGGGGACCATGGCTAATGGGATAAGCAGCTTGCCCCGTAGTTCTGGCATCTGAGTATTTGCAGGACCGTCTGCCTGTCCACCACCCAGAGATGGCTTCTAGGGTTTCTGGGGTGCTTTCACAGCCCAGCCCCCATCTTCCACTTGCATTCACGGATGGGCAGGTGACCTGGTGATGTGCTAACCCTTGAGACCAGGTCTGGTATGGGCCCAGGCAGGGAATAGTCCCTTATATTCACCCAGAAAGAGCTAACAACATACAATATCGGGAATTTGGTCCTTTCTTTTTTGTCTTAGTGCCTTTGCTTATGGCTAGGTGGTACATAATCAAGAAAGATTATGTTGAAATCAGTTAATTTCCCAGCACTTGGGAGCCTGAGGCAAGAAGATCACAAGTAGAAGCCTGCCTGAGCTACAGAGTGAGTCCATGGCAGCCAGGACAACATAATAACACTGTCTCAAAATGAAAATGAAAAAGAACTGGGCATGTATAAGGCCCTGGTTCAGTCCTCAGTACTGTAAAGAAAACCAGTTAATTCTTGACTCAGCAGTTGAGTAGGCTGGCATATTACTAAGGATGAAAGAAAGGTAGAGGGTACAGCCTTACTCATCTTAGAGTATCTGTAACAAAATGGAAAAAAATCAAGAACTGTCATAAAGATACAATCTAAATAAAGATTGGTTTTGATCTCTCTGCTTTATGCAGTGTGACTTCCAGACAGTTTAAAGATTTGATAGAGAATTCTCCTGTTTGTGTGTTGAATCTTAAAAATGCTCTCCCTAGTTTTCTAATCATTGACTTCAAACGGAGAGAGCTCGTGATTGAGTGTTTAGCATCAAACTAGTAATTGGTTTTGTTTATAGCTATTTTCATAACTATTTTAATTTTTCAGATGCCAATTCTACAGAGTTTGACCCTAAAACTAGTCATCCCGTGGTGAGTCAAGTGTTTGACCTTTGCTGGGGCTTAGAGGGGCTAGAAGGACATCTGTGATGCAAAGGATGGTAGACAGGCGGGGAGGTCACTGTCTCTCAAAGAACCCCGAGGTCTTGTTCTCTCAGATGGCCCAGGTAGGAAGGACTTTGAGTTTTCACCTGCTAATTCCTCACTAAATCTTTCCAAGTTATCACAGAAAGTCTTTCAAAAGACAGGTAGGAGCCCTGCCAGTGGGAGGAGATTCCCGATTAAAATAGCTCTCCCAGCCCTGTACATACCCTTAGCTCCTGGTAGGAAGCTCGCAGGTAGCCAGTGCCAGCCATTGCTCTTGCCACTTCTACTTTGTATTCACTGATTCTCTTCTCCCCAGTGACAGTCCTGGGAGCTAGTCCTGGGAGGTGTGATGAAAGAGCTGCTGGGGATGGTCATGATTTGTTTAGTGCTAGCTGAAGCTTTTCCTGACTGCAGTCCTCTGCACTCACCTGGGGGCATATGGCCCAGTCAGCCTGCTGAGGTGCTAAGGCTCATGGAGGAGGGACAGTGCCTTTGTCATTGGATCCCCAGCTACAAGTGATTAGGCACTTGTTTTTCATCAACTTGGCATCAGCATATTATCTGAAATTTAACTTTTGTTAATATAAGAACAAATTTTTGATGCTCTGGAAGTCACAAGGTGTTTAGGAGCGCTGGTCTGAGAGGTGAGCTGCACCAGCCCCTCTGGGGTGCCGTAGCCTACCTGTTCACAGACACTTTGTTACTGGCTGTTGGCCCCATACCCTTTACCTTAGGCCCAGGGGACAGGTGTGTTATAACACAGTCTCCTGTTCATGTTGCTGTACTGTTGTTCCTATGCTGCTCTGCAGCGGCCAGTAGCCTTGGTGGTTCCTGTGCGACTATAGGGACAGTATCATGATGGTGGGCTGAAGGACTGAATCCCTGCCTCAGGGGATGGATGATTGTTGGGAGGCAGTTTCTCAAGACAGCATCTTGCCTGGAAAGGCAGGAGAAGTAGAGTATCCTTCTGAGTAGGCTCCATTTGGGGAAGGTTTTATTCCCAGCAGAAGCAGAGTTTAGTAGTCTTTATTTGTTTTTTGAACATCTGTAGGTCATAGACATGCCAGAACACAACCCTGGACAGATGGGCGGAACCATGAGGCTGGGCAAGAGGAGAACCCTGTTCCAAACCAAGAACTCAGTCATGAGTAAGTTGCCTCATGCCAGCCTGGCCTGGCCATTGACCTGGTCCATCTAGGATGCATGGGCTAGGATGGTGCTATAGCTCTGAAGGACCAGGGAAGCCTTTTTTGGTTTTGTTTTTGCTGTTGCATTTCTTTCCTCCCTCTTTCTCATGCTTATTCAGGATATTAGGCAGAGGAGCAGTGTGGGCTTTAGGTCACTGGTAATGCTCCTGGACCCTGGGTATGGGCACCTCAATAAGATGAGCTGGTAGGTTAAACCCATTGTGGTCTGATGTTGCTTTGCTATAATAAGTGATGAATTTGGTGTTTTTTTGTTTTTCTCCCATAAAAATGGCAATTTCACATGGTTTACTCTAAATACATTTTATTCTAACAATGATTGATGCAAAAAACTTAAGAAAATTACTCTGTTAGACAGTTTGTTGTTGCTGCAGTTGTCGTTTGAGATAAGGTCTCCCTTTAGTCCCAACTGGCTTGGAGAACTATCTTTGTAGACCAGGCTGGCCTTGATCTCACAGAGATCCGCCTACTTCTGCCTCCCCAGTGCTGGAATCAAAGGTGTGCGCCCCACACCTGGCTTGTTAGTTTTTAACCTTCCCCAAGGGAACACTGCTCCTTTAACCACTGGCAGAGGTGCCCTATGTCTGGGGGATTCCATGACTGACTAGTTTGAGTCACTTGAGTACTGTCTTCAAGTCCTTCCAGCTCTGCTGTTCTGTGGGGGTTGGGGAGGTCTCACTAGGCAATGAGAAACGAGACAGTAAAACATCCCCACTGGCACACTGTGCTTGTCATCCATGGCTACTAGGTGCTAACCCGCCTTTGATGACTGACTTGAGCTGCATGTCCTCATCTGGAGCCTGAACTTACCTCCTTTCTTAAGAGGGCCTGGTCTGTTCCTGGAGCCACTCCCAGCAGCACAGGGCTGTATACAGCAGTCATGCATGCAAAGGACATGGTGAAAGCTTGTTTTTGCTATGGTTCTTAGTCTGGGCAGAGGAGCCAGAAACCCAAGGATTGTTAGTCTAAATTATATCACAAGCAGATGAGTGGCTGGCAGGATTTTGGTAGCCTGGTTACCTAGATGAAGAGTGGATAAGAGTTAGTTGTGGCTTGCATAGGTTCTTTGTCAGTCAGAAGCCTTACATCTTGCCTGGTTTTTGGCAGGGAAACTGTATGGAGACACAGACTATTTGGAAGAAAGGCACCGCCACCGATTCGAGGTGAGGACGTGAGCTTGCTCCTTTCTGTTACTCTGCAAAGAAAAGAACAGAGAGACCAGCATGATAATTTTCCTGCCCCCCTTCCACTCCCCAGGTGAATCCAGTTTTGAAAAAGTGCTTGGAAGAACAAGGCTTGAAGTTTGTTGGCCAAGATGTTGAAGGCGAGAGGATGGAGATTGTGGAGCTGGAAGGTGACTATCTGGGCAGTGATACTTAATGGAGAAAACTCAGAAAGGTTTCCTTGGTATGTAGGAAAATAGAAGAAAAAAAGTTACCTGGTTATGGTGGCACATACCTGCAGCCACAGCACTTGGGGCAGGAGGATTGTGAGATCCAGCCAGCCTGGGCTACATTAGAGACCTCGTCTCAAAAAAAAGTCTGTTGTGTATTGTTGCTCTTGCTCCTGACCTGGTATTGGTGGAATTAGGAAGCAGCACTGTCTTGGAGAAGGGTCTTGTGACAGAGTCTAGAGCCTGGCAAGTTCATCCTTGTGCATGGCAGCCATTTAGTCTTGGGCCTTGGTTCCTTTTCCACAATGAAGAGTTGGGACTTGGTACTAAACCCCTTTTAGCTCTCACATGAACTGCATGGCTCACCCTGTGTAAGTCACAGGAACCAAGGCCTCAGGGTGGGACTCTAGAGAGCAGGCCTCTCAGCTGGATGTGGGGAAAGGGCACCAGCTCACAACTCTTTGGGTCCCTTTACCTAGATTCATTCAGGTGATGGAGTTATTTCAAACACTCATGGGGAGTAACAAGATTTTCCCTCATCTTGATCCTTTTACTTGATGCACAGCACACTAATTAATTACTCCTTCTGAATTTCTGTTGCAGATCATCCTTTCTTTGTTGGGGTGCAGTACCACCCTGAGTTCCTGTCCAGGCCTATCAAGCCTTCCCCACCCTACTTTGGCCTCCTCCTGGCTTCTGTGGGGCGGCTCCCACATTACCTTCAGAAAGGCTGCCGGCTCTCGCCCAGGTGGGGGACACTGCTGATCCCAACTACCAGTCTTTTGTCCTGTGGACAAGGGATCATAGACCCATTGCAGTGAGCTTTACAAAGTCAGTCTTAAGAAGTCTTAAGCACCTATAGGTGCTGGGCTAGGTCCTTGGATTCACTCCTGACAATGTTGTAGATGTTCCCGTGCTTTCCCTGGGGTTTTCTCAGCAGCTTCTCTGGCTTATTGGCCAGGTCCCTGCTTTGCTCTATCTGAGTTCTGATGATGCTGAGCAGACCCTTGTCTGTGGTAAGTGGGTCACAACCAAGTGGGCTTATGCCCTTTATCTGAAACTGATTGCTCTGAGTGGGTGGTTAGTGTATCAAGACTGAAGGGTGTGGGGTGCCTAGATCTTATAACTGGAGGAAGGACACCCCTCTACAGCATCAAGCTAAATTTAGTATGTGGTAAAGAATTTCTCTGCGTGGACACAGAGCCCCTGTAGGAATGGTAGTTACAAAAACGGACGTGTGTTTGGGTGGGAGATGAGTAAACCCTCTGACTTCTACAGGGACACTTACAGTGACAGAAGTGGGAGCAGCTCCCCCGACTCTGAAATCACTGAACTGAAGTTTCCGTCAATAAATCACGACTGATATGCTAATGTAAGTGACATTTTAAGGTTTAGTTTTAAAAAAAAAAAAAAAAGAAAACACACAGATGGAGGAGCCCACGGGCCAGCCAGCCTAGCTGAGTAGATGAGCTGCAGGTTCAGTGAGAGATTATCTCAAAAAATGCAGTGGAGGTTCACACCCCCAAACACATGCGTATAGACACAGGCACACAGCATTTGTTAGTCATGTGTAGACTTGCCTGTCAGCTGCCATAGTAAGAAAGCAGCTGTGCAGTGTGCTTGTGTTTGGCTGCAGCCTTGATTTGTGTGTGTGTGTGTGTGTAATTGCAGGTGTAGCTTTTAATTATTCACAAGCACATTAAGCTTCTACCATTCTTTCAAGTTCTAACACTTCTTAATAGACGTTATGTAATTGCTAACTTTTTTTTTGAACAGGGATGATTCCTCAAGGAAGCCTGCGACTTTGATAGTTTACAACTATGATTTTTCACTTGGCTTTTGACACTTCCTTTAAATTATGTTTTTATTAAGATTATTTTATTATGGGGGAAAGGTATTTGGAAAACCGTCACTTGCATGTCCTGTCATTTATACTGGCTCCTGCAACACGATGTACTGCCTGTTGCGTGACCCTTCCTTTCCAGTTTGTCGCGTTTCTGAAATGGGAAGTTGGGCTCTGGATGGGAACTGATGACGGCCAGCGACTGGTAGAGGGCCATCAACCATCTTGTTTCTCCAACTACCTCGCATCGCTGTGGATTCAAGTGTGTTGTTGCTTCCCTGAGTGTCTGGACCCTTCCAGTGTGCAGCAGGAACTGCTATGGTGTCTGTGCATTGCCATTTGGAGGAGTGAGGCCTTAGCTGAAACTTCAGTGCTGCTGAGTTGTAGGGACTCTTGGTGCCAGCTGTGGCTGGTCCTCACCATCCCAAGGGATGCTCACTTCAGTATCAGATCAGATAAGTGTATCTGATATGTGGCTTAAAAACCCTGGGCCTCTGGCTGCTCTTCCTATCTCTGGGGTGGCTGGACTCACTCCTTGCATCAAGGGGTCACTTAGAAACAAGAAATCTTGAGAAACTCTGAAACTTTGTGTGTTGACTTGAGGGTACTTTTTTCTTCCAGAATGGTGTTAATTGCAGTTGAAATGCAATTCAAAAAGTTATTTTCTTAATGTGACAGCAGTGGGCAGCCCACGCTCTTGTGGCCAACACAGTGTATACTCCTAACTTAATAAATACGCGGACCGTTGGTGTGCTTTCTCCTCTGTCTCCGTCTGGGGGTGCCTTTGCGTAGGCCCTGAGCTGCAGAGCCAGGGCTTCGGGGGCCGGCCTGTGAGCGGTCTGATACTTTAATAAGGCTTTGCATTTTAGTTGTCAGATGTGACTAGGCACTATTTAACAGAGAGGAACAGCACTGTGGGCCACCTGTGCAGGGTTGTTCTTTGCCCATTGTGGACTGTCTTAACCAGCAGGTTTGCCTCTCCTCTCTGTCCTCACGCTTAGTCTCTGGGGTTCAGACTGAGCAGTTCAGGATCACTGGCTGGGGGCAGGTTTCCTCCAAAGTGAATTGTGGGGTGTTGGTGACACAGGAACCCAGTTACTCTCATGCTACAGGCCTGGCTACATTTACTTGCTAGAATTTGAGACATGGAGGGGTGGGGAAGAAAATGTCTCAGCAGTTGTTCTAGCTCCTTAGAGAGACTGCTTTTCCCCCTTCACTTCCTGGTCCAGTGCCATCATACCCTTGAGGCCGAGAAGCCCACCCTCCTGCCTCCTGCCCAAGAACTTGTCCTTTCTTTGCCTCTACTGCTGAGTGAACTGATCTGCACAGATTGTGCCTGGCCTGTGGCTGATTGTACTTCTAACTTCTCTTCCCACAGTGGTCCCGTTTTCCCATGCTGAGGCACTGTGCCCCACAGGGACGACTGCAGTTGCCACAACTATGAGGACTTGGCTGAATGGAAGAGCCACCCTGTGTGTTTCTGCCCTGGCAAAGATGGCCTCAGCATTGACCAATTGCCACATGCTGGCTCCCTGCATAACCTTTTTGAGAAAAGGCTCCCCAAAGCTTGCCGTGCTGATGGGACTGATGCTGGCTGGCACCGTAGGGCAGCCTTCCAAAACCAGCGCCCAGCTGCTGCTTTTTGGCAGAAGGAAACCTGATGATCCTGTGCTAACCTCCCTCGGATCCAGGGGACAGCAGCTGTGTTTCCACTTCACCTACCTTTGTAGAAACCAGCTTCCTCCCAGAGAACACTTCTTCTAGCATGGTGCTTGGCACACGGGTTGTGCCCAGAAACGCTGCCCTCTGGCTTCTTGAGTAAGCTTATTTATTGTGCTGGGGCTACTCATCAAGTGCTTACCTGTGAGCCTCGGCCTCAGTAGTGCGTTCTTTGGATGGCTCTTAAGTGGCTACAGAGACCCTGGGGAAAGCACAGTGTGTGGGTGACAGGAGTTTGGTATCTATCATGGTAGGCGCATCTGTGATCATGTTTGGTCCGTATAAGCCCTGTGAGCTGTGGCAGGGTTTGTATTCTATTTGATGCACAGGAAAATCAGGTCTCGGAGCTGGTGTGAATGTTGTGTGTGTAGAGGGAAGCAGGGGAAGGTGCTGTTGAATGTGGGGTAGGGAACTGAGTTTTCCAGTGTGTGTGTGTAAGTGTAAGCTAGAGATTGACATCAGCTGTTTTCCTCAGTCATTCTCCCCTTCCACAGTGTCTCACTGAGCTTGCAGCTCAAAAATCAACTTCTTACGTGGGTGCTGGAGATCATTCAGGTCCTCATGTATATGTAGCAGGCACCTGATTGAGTCATCTTCCCAGCTCCAAAGCTTTTCTCTTCAGTACTGCTCTGTGGATGTGACCAAAGACCTCTTACCAAGGAAGTGACTGCTGATTAAAGTGCTTCTGTGGAACCCCTGCCCTATAAAATGCCGTTTATCATTTTCTCCCACAAATTTTCTGGTAGCTCAGAGCCCAGATGTGGGAGTATCCTTAATTGTCACATTAGGGAATTACTGTGCACCTGCTTCAGGCCTGCCATGTATTAGGTTCTGAACATAGACCATATCCTTGCCCCCTGGATCATGTATTTTAATGGAAAACAGAGTGACCATGCTATGGAGGAAAAAGTAAGGGAATGGCTCCTGCCTGCAATCCCAGCACTTGGGAAAGAGGTGGAGGGAAGTGGAGACAGGAGGATTGCCACAAGTTCAAGGCCAGGCCCTTCTTATAGTAGAGAAGCCTGGAGCTCACTGAGGGAAGAGGGTCCCAGGCATGGGAGCAGCCACTGCAGAGGTGGGTTGGTTGCCGTAGCTGGCATGGCTGGTGTAAGATCAGCAGATGAAACAGCACAGATGGGCTTCCTCTTGGTGAAAGAGGAGCGTAGACAGGACAGCAGGGCAGGATCAGGCTCTGGTTTTAATGGCAACCAGTAGCAAGGAAATGGCAGGGGTAGGAATCCTCTATAGGAGCCTGAGGTTCAGGGAATGGGAGCCAGACCCTTCCTATACAGGGCTGCTCTGTTGCCCCAGGTGCCTGGTCTTAAGGCAGAGCTGTACTGGGTACTGAATGACCACAGTGCTGTATCTCAGAGTGGGCTCTGCTTCCAGAGCGCAGGTGTGTTGGTCATGGGACTTGTGACAACAGCCTCTGGGCTGGCCGACTCAGTCTCCTAGAAATAACCAAGTGCTCCACTGTGTGATTTATTAAGGGGCTTTGACAAGTAGCAAGTTAAAGGGGAGAGCACAGGGTAGTCTGCTTGCCCCATAACCAAGTTAGCTGGCTGCAAGTGGCATTTTCAAGATGACAGATTTCTAGCTGACTGGAATTGGCTTGGGCAAAAGGAGCATTTAGGGTTGGGGTTAGAGGAACAGTCCCTTAGAGCTCAGTTCAAGTGGCTCTAGCCAGATTTTCTGAAAGGTTCCTTGGGGATGTGCTAAGAGCTGTTTAGTGCTTTGGTACTGCATCTGCTCTGGGGCAAAGCCACAGGGGTCCTAGCATGTGCAGTGCTGAGGGAGAGGGGAGGCCAGCACTCCAGTCCACCTGTGGCCTAGGTGTGTTACTTCAGGCCTGAGCCCACATCTGCCTTAAGTCCTCACAGGACACAGCAGCTGCATGACAGGGGCCGGTGCTGCCTCAGCTGCTGCTGGAGCTGCTCCTTTTCCACCAATAGCACCTTCACCTTCTCCTCCAGCTTGCCCAGTTCTGCCGTCCACTTCTGAAAGGACAGTGTGGCAGTAGATAACCAAGCTGACATTGTTCCAGGCTATTCACACGCCCTCCTGGGATGAGCCACAGCCTGGGAACCTTGGCCATGTTGCTGCCATGGAGCACTAAGGGCCCTGGAGTCTTGAAGTTCCACTACTCTGCACACAGTTGGTGCACTCTCTGCAACCTTCCAGGGCCCAGCCCAGGGACATGACTGTCACCTGACCGTGTCTTCACTGTCAGCTCCCTTGCCCTCTGGTTTTCCACCACCTGGTAGTTCTCTTAGAAAGGGTTCTCACTGTGACTCAGGTACAGCACTTACCTGCCCTCCTCACCAAGGTCTCCCTCAAATGCAGTGTACACTCCTTGGGGTTTCCATATAACCTCCCTAGTCCAATTTCCCCAATCCCATGACTACTCAATAGCAGAATGCCTTACCTGCCCAAGCAGGGTGGGTGGGGGTGTCAGGTACCATGGAAAGTAGTACATAGATTTTAAAAGACTGCTGGGACCTCTCCCCTGGCCACCTAGCAGTGCAGTATGGGAGGAGATGGCGTCCCTTTCATCCAAGCCCTCCTGTGTACTCCTGCTTGCCTAATACTGCTGGGTGAGCAGCTGGAGGGGCCTGGTTCAGGCTGACCCCGACCTACCTTGGCCCAAGCCTCCTTACCTGCTTGCACCAGTCCTGGATGGCACCCACAGACAGCGGGCCCTGGATGCTCCCATCACGCCGCAGGAACACCTCTCCCTGGTCTGTCTCGTATAGCTGTGGCTCACCTTGGGCCTTCGGTGTGTGCACGGTCAGACGGAGCACCTTACAAGGGCAATGGCAGCTCAGGGGGTGCCACAGCTGATGGTGGCAGCCCTAGTTCTGCCTGGGAGGCTCCATGTTTCACCCTGGCTCCAAAGCAGCCTGGTGGGCTCCTTTCCCTAAACCTTTGCTCACTGCTCCCCACCCCAGTGCTGTTCCCTGTGGAGTGATGGCAGATGCTCATAGCTCACCTTGAGAGGCATGCTGGAGGTAGAGGTGCTAATGACAGGGATGAAGGTGAGGGTGTAGGCATCAGGAAAGACCTGGGGCTTGAAGCCCTGTAGGATGGAATCTACCAGCAGGCGGGTACGGTCCTCCTCACGGTAGCTACAGCGGATGCCCTGCACCAGGCCATTGTCCTCAACACCCACGAACAGGCTGCCACCCTCACTGTTGAGAAAGGCACACACATAGCGCCGCACGTGGTGCTTGAAAGCCAAGTTCAGATACTCACCGCTGCCCCGCTTGAACTCCATGTTCCGTGTCTCATTGCCCAGGAAGGCACCCTTGAAGAGCTGTTCCTGGCCCAGGATCTCTTGGTGTACGATGGCGCTGTCAGAGCGCACAGTACTGGGCCGGTTCTGGGAGATATGCCGTCGACCATCGCAGCACCAACTAGGGGAGGGGTCTGTAGTCTGAGTTGGCAGTGGGAGTTTAGAGCCTGGGCTGGAACCAGGACTGTGGCTTAGGCTTGGGTCACTGTCCTGCTGGGGTGGGGGTCAAGAGCAGGTATATAGGCTCAGGCAGAAGGCAGGAGCCCCTACCTTAAGACAGACAGCCAGATCCCCCATCACACCTGTGCCTGTGGTTCTGCTCCCACAGGCAACCTGATACCCTCTCTCAGGCTGAGGACCAATTCTGCATATGTCCTGCAACCAATTGTGGGCCACTCTGCTGGCTTAAGGGCCCAAATCAGATTTTGGGTTGAACTTTCTAGGCACCCACTGTGGCACACCTGGGTGGGTAAAGAGAAGATTGCCTCGGGGCTGAGCCTCGGGGCTCAGCGATTAAGAGCGCTGACTGCTCTTGCAGAGGACCCAGGTTCAATTCCCAGCACCCACATGGCGGCTACGAACCGTCCTTAACTCCAGTTCCAGGGGAATCTGAAGTCACTGACTGCAGAGGACCCGGGTTTGATTCCCAGCACCCACACGGTGGCTACGAACTGTCTTTAACTCCAGTCTCAGGGGACTCTGAAGTCCTCTTCTGACTTCTGCAGCATTGCACAACACGGGTGCACTCACATACATGCAGGCAATACACTCATACACATAAAATAAAATAAAAATTTTTTTTAAAAAGATATATTGCCTCTTGGGGACAGGAGCCAGCACACTCATTTCCCCATTTGGGTTGTGGAATTAGCCTCAGGCCTAGATGTTTCCAGGAGGTCCCCTGGCACCCTGAGGTCCCCTGTGTGAAGCTGCAGTTCCTGAACTGAGGGACCTCACCCTCCTGTTCTCGCTTGCACCTCTGCCAGTCACTCATTGAGTCACTGACAAGTCCTCTTGAATCTTAGCCACCTACTGCCCCTCCTGAGCCCCTTCTGTGGCTTCCACTCTGTCCTCGGGGCTCTGGTCATTGTTACTGCATGGTTATTTCCCTAGTCCTGGGCTCATCAGCTAGCCCATTAGCTTCCTCTTTCCATCCTCAGCAGCCATAAAAGCCAGTCTGATGGCCACTCTCCTTTCCCATCTCCCTGCTGCCTTAGCCTCTTCAGGGCTGGACACTCAACTGGGCTGGTACATACATGGAGATGCAGAGTAGGGCCTAGCAGCCCAGCAGTTCCTCAGACAAGACAGAACTGTCATATATGACTATGAAAGTAGGTGCATGCATGTGGAAAGATCACAGAACTGTTTAGTTCTAGTTCAGACCCCACAGGTTTGCCGTCTGAAGACAAACATCACTTATTCTGTAACCTCCCACCTCCAAGGAAGCTGGCTATGGATCCTGCTCTGCCTTGGTTACTGCCATGGTGACCTGGGACCACTCTGGCCCAGTTTCTTAGCAGAAGGTGACCTCCAGCCCCAGCTCCATGAATACCAAACAGCCTGCTCTGCAAGCACATCTCCTCACCTATCATTCTGCCTGAACGTCCTTCCTCTGAGTGTCTCCCCAGTTCCCCTAAACCCTAAGCCTGGATTTCAGGTCCCCTGTGAATACGTCTCCAGTGAGCAATGAGGGCTGCCTATCCCTGTAGCCACCTCAGCTTTATAACTGGCAGTCTGTTCTGTTCTTGGAGGGAGCCCTTGCTAAGAACAGGACCTAGGCATACTGCCTCAGCCTCACTCTTGGCATAATGCAGGTATTGAGTTTGTCACCTCAATAAATGAGGTGGGCCAAGGAGAAAATCAGAACTGGGTGGTGCCCCAGGACTCCCAGACCAGGCTGGGATGCAAAAGGGCCCCTAAAGGTTAGTGCCCCGCTGGGCAGAGGGGGACAGTCATTTAAGTCACATCCCTTGGGTACACAGATTTGTCTTTAGTTCCTCATGCCTTCACACTCGGGCTTCTTCCCCAGCATGCCTTTGGGCTCTCTTAGGTGGGTCTCACTTACCTCCCTGTGGTGTAGGTGCTCCAAGCTCTCACTCAACACCAGTTCCTTGCCACGAGCTGTGAGCTCTTTGAGGATCAGCTGTTCCTCCAAGGCCATCTGCAAGCGCCAGGGGAGCGAGGCCAGGGCAGCCTTATGGGTGGCCACCTGCACCAGTGCATAGGTGTTCCGTGGCCGCCTCACCACCTCAATGTGCTCACGGGCCACCGGCAGCTCCAGACGCTCCAAGGTGTCTCGCAATAGACAGGCAAGCACAGGTACTGAGAACTGGGGGTTCAGGTGGCCCACATACAGTGTATGTGTGCTGGGAACTGCCTTGAGATCAGAGTCCTCAGGTAGGGACTCTTTTGGAGGGCGTTTTGGCATGGACTGCTTGCCCTGGGATGCAACAGGAGCCTCGCACATCTGTGTCTGCACTTATCTCTTTCTGGGGGTCATGGCAGCCTTCTGCAGAAGGGATTTTGGTATTCCTCACTGCTGACTGCTCCTCTTGGACTGGGCTCCCAGATTGGCCAGGGCCTTCCAAGGGACTCACAGGTGCCAGAGCTCCTGGTTTGCCAATTGGCAGAGGCTGGGCAGTGGAGAGAGGCAGGTGGGGAACAGGCAGAAGGTCAGCAAGAAGGGCAACCCACCCATTTGAGGTCTAAGGACAAGAGAGAACCAGATGGGGTTGAATCAGACCACTAGTCTTGTGGGCAGGTAAGGGATTTGTCCAAAACTTAGGTTTCTGAGGGCTTGCCTATCCCCCTTGACGGCCTTGTTTTGATGCCCCAGTCAACAGCTAGAGGCCTCCTAGCTGCCCCTAGGGTTTCCTGCTAACCAGAAGGTTCTTACAGCCTTCAGGCACCAGTGAGATGATTTAATGCGGGTCTTGAGAAAGAGGCCTTAGCTCGGGGCTGGTCAGTGGCCCCACAGCTGTTTCTCCCGTCATTGGCTCTAAAACCTGAGGTTAGTGGGGTCTGTGAAACTAATCAGGGTTAGGTTGGGAGGTTCCTAGGGCTTTTGGCACACTGACAACAGCTATGGTACTCCCCAGAAAAAGGGCCTTTGCATATACTCATAATGTATGAGGGCTAGAGCTTGGGCCCTTGATCCCACTCTAGGCATAGGTGCACACATGAATCCTCCACTCACCCACACACCCCGAGCCTCTGACTTGAGTGGCAGGCACCACCAGCCTGCATCTTTCCAGATTGGGTCCTTGAGGAGGTCAGGGTCTGGGAGCCACTACAGCTGCAAGGAGGGGCATTCAGGGAAAGCATGAAGAGCAAAGAGGAAGCCTAGGATCTTCATGTCCTGCTACCTCCTAGGGGAGTATGGGAGGTGCCATTTCTGAGCTCCCACAGGCCCCTGACCCAAGGCACTTGAGGTTTGGCATGGTTGCTGAGAGAACCAGGGTCTTAGGAAGTGGGTGGGGCCTGTACAACCACTTCTATGACCTCACAAAGGCCAGTGATGCTTTCTGGATCAGCAGGTAGGGTTGGGATGTCTAACAGTGACACTCCCCTACAATCATGGGCTCTGTCATACCCTGTAAACAGATATAGCTGCCCACCCACCGCACAGCTTGCTCGTGGAGCTCCCACTGGGCAGCTTCTAGAATGGAGGGAGGGCCTAAAAATGTTTTTTTCATTCTGTAACCCATCTCCAGCCCCCAGTGGTCATATATGTCACCAGTTAACTACCTCTTTTGGTTAAAACCCCTCTCCTTCCTTAGTCCCCAATACCAGACTCCACTGAACACTGACAGGACCCAGCTGCTCCCAGGAGGGACAAAAATATACAGGGTGGGGTCCAGGGCTCCCCTGACACCAAGCTCTTTTCAATATCAGACACAGAATTTCCTCTAAACAGAGGTTGGTATCTAGAAGGGCCTGAAAGCTGGCCAGGCACTGTCATCTCGACTTTTTATCTGCTGCTTGGGTGCTGTGCAGCCTCCAGGAATGGAAGAGCCAGTTCCTGGAGGGCAGGGCTTAGCTCAGGTATATAATGTATGTGGGTGCATTTGCCATGGCACAGGTGAAGAAGTCAGAGGACAACTCTGTGGAGCTGGTTCTCTCTTTTCTCCTTTGTGTGTGTTCCAGGGGCAAAATTCAGGTCCCCAGGCTCGCATGGACATACACCTTTACCCACCGAGCCATCGTGCTGGCTCTCAAAACTTTGTTACACGCTTCCACACTCTGGTTATGGGGAAGGAGTGGGAGGCCACAGGCGCTGCTTCAGTCAAGTAGCTGCTTGGCAGTATAGAGCAGACAGCCTTCCTGTGAGCAGCCATTCTGAAGATGTTCCTCAACTTTTCATCCCTGTAGGGCTAGAGGCAGAAAAGGACAATGGTGTGGGGTCAAGGAAAGGCCCTAGCCCCACAGGTGGCCATGTGTGGCTCTGGGAAGACCAAACATGCTGTGCTGGCCTGCCTCAGTTTCCCCCACAGGTCTAGGACATGCACCTCTGCTGTGGTCCAGCCGGGCTAGACTGACTGGCCACATTGCTGGCCCAGACTTTAGTAATTACGTGCAGTTTTCAGATTAAAAAATTGAAGGCTCATGAGATGGCTCAGCAGGTAAAGGAACTTGATGACCAGCTTGGACAACTGGAGTCCAGCCCCTGGAACCCACACAGCAGACAATACCTTCCAGTTGCCACACACGTGCTGTGGCAGGTGTGCACCCTTCCCCTAACCCAAATAAATGGAATTACAACATTAAAAAGACATTGGTCACCTTTTTTATCTGATGCAGCCACTCATGGCTTCCATGAATTCCTAAACTGTGTTAATAGGGTCATATTGTGCATACTTACTTACTGTCCAGTGAAATCTAATCAGAGTTAAGAATGTTTCAGGGATCTGAGCCAGGTTCAGTAGCAATCCTAGCATTTGGAAGGTGGAGGCAGGAGGATCAAGATTCAGTCTTGGTTACATAGCCAGTGTGAGGCCAGCCTGGGCTACAGGAGACTGTTATTGAGAAGTTCAGGGTTATACACGCTCTCTATACTGTGGTTCATAACTTGTGATTTTTTTATGCAAAAAAGGTAGAATTAAGACTCTTTTCAAGACATGAGCGCTGAAGCTGCATTTAAAAATGCAGGTACTATAAAAGGAGGTACTGTAGGGTGGTGTGAGGTTTAAATAACATATACAACTCAGCACAAACCCTCCAAAGCTGCTCATCAGTAAGTTGCACACTCTTGGTGACCAGAGGAAAATGGGGTGTGGCATTCTGCTCTACAAGGCCCTGCCTTACAGCACATCTGGGATGCCTGTATTTTGGCACTTCCTACCTTATCTATAAAATGGGCTTGTGGTGAAGACTAAGTAAGATGATTCTCGTTCCTGTAGCGCAGGAAGTGATATAAAAGTGTTTGTGGTCATGCTCAGGTTGTCTGGCCTGAGCTGTGGCTCCTGGCACAGGTTTCCTCTGTCTTCTGTAAATCCTTCACTCCCACTGGTAAGCAAGCAGGCTGTGTGGCCCTGGGCTGGAGTGCCTGGCCATGGTCAGTGCATGGGGATGGTGCAGCCTGCACCTCCTCTCTTCTCACCCCTTGAGGGTGGGAAGCAGTTCACTGAGGTTTCTGGGAGTTGCCAGCCCTCAAACTGCTTCCCAGTGTGATGCGGCTGCAGCACTCGACCCGTGGAGGGAAGCAGCTGGGGAAGAGGCTGGAGCCTGTAAAGTTCTGGGTGGTGTGGGCACTTAGAAGATAGCCTGCACTGGGGGGCTGTGGGGTTGGAAGAGCTCCTAGGGATAATCTGGTCCAGGCTTCTTTTATGTGAGGGAGAACCGAGGCCAAGAGAAGAGGCAACCTGCTGGCTGAGGGATTTGGCTGTCAACTGGTTAAAAAGACACAGGCTTGTGTACTTGTTTTTATTTATAAACAAACTGACATAAAATAGTCCAGATGGCAGCGGGGCAGCAGTGCTGCTGACTTGCTTAGGAGGAAGCACAGGAGCTAGTAGAGGGCAAAATCCCTCCAGCTCAGAGGCCCTCCCTCCCTCCCACCATGGGGCCTCTCAGCCTAAAGGCATAGGCTCCATCTTCTGCAGCAATTCTGACCAGGGCAGGGAGCTGTGGTGGGGCAGTGTGGAGGGAGAACTCCATCAGAGATGGAGCCTGGGGCTACAAAGGGCCATGTGGGGGAAGAGGAAAGATGACAGGGCCCTCATCTCCCCATGCCCAGTGAGCTACACACCTCTATCCATTCCAGAGAGAAAGTGTCCTAGGGCAATGTCCTCTGAAAAGGGCCATGATTCTCTAGAGAGGGCCTCTCTGGACCAGGCAGGGTGGTCTCCCTCCTTTAAAACTGTCTGGTACAAGAAGAGCATTAACCAGAGTTAGCTGTCCAAGTGCCAGAAGCAATAAATTAGCAATAAGAAAAGGTATTTTTTAAAAAGGTCTGCACCATGATTTTGGAGTCTGGTAATCTGGTGAGAAGGCAGGAGCTGGGGGCCATGGGATGCTACACCAAGCCCAGAAGGCGGTGAGGGCCTGAGTGCCAGGGCCTTTCATGACTCCAGGGCTGGCTTCTTCCTCTATCACTTTCAAGGTGCTCAATCTAAATGCTTGGTGAGAGGCTGGCTAGCCTTGAGAATAAATAGAGGGGGCCTGGAAGCTGTAGCAGGCTGAGGGAAGAGCAGCCCCAACCCCTGGGCCCACAGTCTCCCCTCCTCAGTCCTTCATGGAAGGACACATTATGGCAGGAGGGGTAGCAGTAATGGCTCTCCAGCCTTCTGGAGTCGTGAGGTTGCCAGGAGCCCTACTGAGGTGCCTGGGAGCCAGCTGGTGGCCTCCTTCCAGGGAGAAGAATGCCTCTTGTTCAGAACTTGCCCTGTTTTAGCCGGTCAATGTGGAAGGAGAGCTTGAGAGCAGGCCCCAGCTTCAGGCCCATGTACTTCATCATCATGTCACTGCGCAGCAGGAGCAAGGCCTTGCCATCGATCTCCTGGGGGTCGGGAGGAGCCATCATCAGAAGCCTGGCTGGTCTGACTGCCTCAGGTGCCAACCAAAGCCACCCAAGGCAGTGCCAGCCACATAGAGTGAAGTGAGGCTGCCAGAATCCTGACCTGCCTGCTTCCCTCCCTGGTACTCTAAGCGCCTCTTCTCCCTAGGCAGGCACTGCAGGTCAGGGTCCTCCCACAGGTTTTCACCTCCCCCTTCCCTGCTGCTGGGGGGCTGTTTCTTTACTTTCAAGCCTTGCAGTTAGTGTTATCTGTACAGACTCTTTTGACATTGACCCTCAGTGCCATTCTGTGGCTTATCGCTTCTCTGAAGCAGTGGAGGTGCACTGTGTGCTGGGCCTAAAGTGGTCCTTAAGGGGCAGTGGTGACCTTCAGGCCTGCTTTGGAGCCTTTGCAAACCTACCTACCTGAAAGATTTCCATGGTCAGTGACCACAGATGTAGGGAAGTGAGTTTGAGCCCTGAAGTAGGAGTATAATCAGAGCAAGTGGGGATGGGGGAGAGACAGGAGCAATGCCTGGCCATGGGGACAAATGGTCTCTTGAAGAGAGGCTTGGGCTCATAGTACAGGATGGAGGGAGGACTGGAGAAGAGGAGGGTTGAGGCTACTTGCAAAGGAGTCTTTAATTTGGGCTGAAACTAAGCCCTGAATCTCATGCCAAGGCTGTGGTGGGCAAAAACGCTTAGAAAAAGAGATACATCCCTGTGCCTAGAACTGAGTCGGAGGCCACAAATCCAGTACGAATGTGGCCCAGTGAGATTCTACCCTAAAGGAGGTGAACACACCATGACACTCCTGTGTTGTTTCAAGAGACATGGGGCAGCCATGTCCATTAGGATCTATAAGTTGCAGCACAAAACTCCCAGTGTGCTCAGGAGAGGTGGAACCTACATGTTTTCGGAAGAGGTCAGCATGGGGTCCAAGCTGAGGATCAGCTTCCCGGACAAACTGCATCACATCCTCCACTGTCCATGAGGAGGGGTCTTGGCCACTCAGGCGGGATGTATCTCGGCTCTCCAGGTATCGGTCTGACCCTGCAGAACAGAAGGACACCTGCTCTAATGCACAAGTTCCCACTACTCCCCTGGCATATTCAGTGGCTGCCAAGGTGATGCTCACAGCAGCATTTGAACACCAGGAGAGGAACTGGAGGCGGCCCAGGGAGTAAAGAAATTGTCTACAAAGGGTAGTCATAGTAGCTTCATTCTGTAATCTGTGTTCTGGAAGTTCTGCATTGGGGCTGTGGTGCAGCTGAACCTGAGACGTGTACCAATGATGCGAAGAGGCTATATGAGTACAGTGGCGGGGTGGGGAGGGGAGGGTGTTTGCCTTTGTCTTGGCTCTGGGGCCAGAGAAAGCCTGATCTCAGCAAGATTAGAGCCAACTCTGGGGACTAGAGAGAAAACTGGTAGATTATACTTTGGGTCCTCTCCCCAGGTGTGGAGAATAAGTAGCCACGACAGCTGGACACACTATGGCAGAAAACAGTTTTGGCCTTGGCTCTCAGGAATCTCCAAGTTCCTTTAATGCCTTATTTACAGTTTTTATCTCAGTCTTGGTTGAAATACAGCCCTTCCGTTTCCCCTGTGTGATTTGGGATCTTTTTATTTTGGCCGTCCACTGCTGCAGGTCCCTTGTACATTTACTCTCTCTGCCTGGAATGTCCTCCCTTCTTTTCCTTGAATTTCTCCTTTTCTTCAGACAAACTCCAGCTTACTCCAGATTAGCTAAACAGATCTTGCTGTAAGGACCAGATCCTTTCTGTTTTAATACTAAAATAAGTGGTTTCTCAAAGCATTTCCTGTATTGGTTACAGCTCACCCTGTGGACAGCTGTCCAATCCCACCACCCTAATGATCTATGTGCTATAAAATAGAATCTTTACAAAGCAGTTGCTGAATCCTGTCAACCCCCGCTAAGCACTCCCTGCCATGGCTTCCCATTGCCCAGGAAATGGAACCCAACTCCTAATAGTGCTGACCAAGGGTGAGGAGTCTTCTAGTCACTCTGCCCCACCTTACTTCACAATGGTCTCCCACCCTTACTGACTATGTAAAGGGTCAAGCTCTTGTCCTCTGACTCACCTGGAATGCCCTTTGCTCAGATCTTTCCATATCTGACTCCTCGACATTTGGTTCTTTTCTCAAATTATCAGTTTCCCTGATCTAGTGAAAACAATTCCCTATACAATCATTCTCAGTTTGCTTACCCCTGGCACATATCAGACCCAGAATAAGTTCACGCACTCATTAATTTGGTATGTATTGTCTGTCTCCTCTAAGGAATTTAAGTAATAGAATGTTCCTTGCTCTGTTCCCAACACATAAAAGAGTGACTGGTCTGCCACAGTTGATGCACATGCATGTTGGTTAGATGAATGGTAAGACCAAACTTGAGCATTCTTCTCTTTCCTCTACTAGACGATGCCTCTATCGAGGCAAGGGACTTGTCTTGTACATGTCTACGTTCTTAGCACGTGCAGATGCCCTCTCCAATGGCAGAGCTAAGACACACTTGGGAGAGAAAGACCTAGTCTTTATCTAGGTCCTGCAGAGCTGGGACTCTCTTCCCATCCTCCTCCTTTCTGGGTCTTGGGTCTAAAACCACACTGAGTAGTTTTCTAAGATTAGTGGACTTTCTAGCAAATCTTTCTAGTTTGTGGTCAGGCATGTAGCAGACCAGGACAGAATGTCCTAAGCAAGCAGGCTGATTAGAGGCACAGATACCCCAGTGACTTTTCAGAGGTATAAAGAAGACAGGAAGTTGGAGGGAGGCTCTGTGAGCTAGTCACTTCTCCCTGCTCTAAAAGGCCTTTGTTATGGTGAAAGTGAAACCAGCCGTAGATATTCTGGAGAGCAGAGAGGCTCTGTGGTGGGACAGTGGATGTGTCAATGTATCCTTCTTGTTCAGCTAGCTAATGCCTTTAATGAAGGGCTAGGAATCTGTGTGTGTGTGTGTGTGTGTGTGTGTGTGTGTGTGTGTATACACATATATAAAACATACATAACAGGACTCCACATATACACACACTGTTAACTGCATAATGTATTCCCCCAAATTCATATGCTGAACTCCCAACCTTCAAAAGTGATTATATATTAGGAATTTGGGTAGAGCCTAAACATTATAAAAAAAATCAGTGCTCTTTTTATAAAGGAGCCTGAGAGAGGGTCTTCTCCCCAACTTCTCCATCCTCTGAGTTTAGGTTATATGAAGTTATAACCAGAAGATGGCCCTATTGAACCAGGAAGCCAGTACTCATCAGATACTAGATACACTGGCACCTTGATCTTGAACTTCCTAGCTTCTAGGGCTGGAAGAAATAGATTTCTGTTGTTTGTAAGGCACCTACTTTATAGTATTTTGCTACATCAGTCCAAATGGGCCAACACAACTCATATATAGAATATTATTTATATGGGGCTGGAGAGATGGCTCAGTGGTTAAGAGCACTTGCTGTTCTTGTAGAGGACACAAATCCAGTTTCCAGCACCCATACAGTACACACAGTATAACTGTACGGTACACAATTATCCATAACTCTAGTTTCAGGGGACCCAACACCCTCTTCTGGCCTCCAAGGGCACCAGGCATGCACATGGTACACATACATATATGCAAACACTCATACACATAAAAGTAAATTTTTAGAATACTGTTATACATTTATGTATTGGTTAGCCTACTTCCACTAGGACCTAAACTCATTGTGGGCAGGTAGCGCTATAATTTATGTGATAAGAGAAGCGTGCCTCAGGTGACATTTGAGTGAAGTCCTGAAGCAGCAGACCAGACCAGTTGGCATGTTTAAGGTTAGCAGTAAGGGAAGGGAATGAGTGAGAAATGGGGTAAACCACCACCTGTGAGGCATGTTTGTGTACTAGGGGAGGAGGGACAGGGTGGCACAGACAGATAATACAGAATCTTATATACCATTGATTTTTCTTGGGTAGATTTGAGCAGTTTAAGAGAAAGATGATTGACAGTGTATTTAGAACAGGCTTTAGGAGCAAGGATAAAGTCTTGGTAGTAGCCTCAGCAACAGACAACTGTGGTATGCACTGTAAGGTAGTGTAGGGGTGGGGGGAGAGAAGCTGGATACAAAAACAATATTCTAAGGACCAGGCATGGTGGCACATGCCTTTAATCCCAGCACTTGGGAGGCAGAGAAAGGTGGATCTCTGTGGGTTCAAGGCCAGCCTGGTCTACAGAGTGAGCTCCAGATCAGCCAGGGCTACATTTTGAGACTTGTCTCAAACACAAAACAAAAAAACACAAAAAACACCCCCCCAAACCAAAACAACAAACCAAAACCAAAACACTCAACTGCCCCAAGCCCCAAAACAATGTTCTATAAGTTAGAAAGAACTCTTACCAATATCACCTCTTTGTGACCTCTAAAACAGCTCCTGAAACAGGTTTTATCAGAGAGAGGGGGGCACTGAGGCCAGTGAGGTGAAGTGACTTGCCTAAGACTATCTAGGTTTTCCTGTTCTTATTTCTGCAGACAACTGATCTCGGGGCCTCACCTCTACTGCCTCTATACACACCTCTATACGAGTATAACTGGTGGCTGCCTTTCAAGAAAGGCAGATTGTCTTAGTCTGAGAATGAGTGCGTCAGACAGGGAGCATCAACAAGGGACCAGTAACAAATTTTGGATTAATGAAATAAGAAAGGGGATAGACTCAATTTCTTGATTTTTTGAGACAAAACAATGTAGGGCTCATTAAGTAGAATCCTTTAGCCTTAGATGTTCTTCAGACATAAACACTCATGTGTTCAAAGGAAGAAGGGAAAACCAGACTACAGTGCCATCCAGGCCAGTACTGTGAGAGGTGGTCTATCACAACATACCCCTACCAGAACCAGACCTTATAGAAGATGGCAGTCACAGTAACGTCCTGCATACCTGGGGAATGACTTAGTTTCCAAAATGATTCCATATCCCTTCTTTCATTTGGTCCTTTTAACACTCCTGTGGAAAGACCAGGTTGGTATCAGAATTTCCATTTCCACATGAGGAACACTTTGCATATGGGGAAAAACTGAGGTGGGACAACTTTCTTAAGCCTCAAGGCAAGAGGACTGAGGGAAGCAGGTTTCAGTTCTACCTATCTTGACAGCTCTTTCTTCTTCATTTTGCCCCCTGGCTGGGGCTACAGCCCAGGTTTCTTCCTCTGCCTCAGTCTTCACAGAAGCTTTCTTAGCAGGTTTTCTTTCACTGCACCTTTCCCTCCCTCCTAATGGAATCTTCTTGTTTTTTTCACATTTCACATGCTCTTGCACTGGGGGCAGGGGAGCTAGGGCTTTGAAGGAAGCAACCTTCTGACTCCCCATTGCTGCTTTTAGACCATTTTCCTATGAAACTCAATGTACTTCAAAGGCCATTTATCCAGCCACCTGCTCTTTCTGACCACTATTATTCATCTACAGATCTCTAGATTGCCATTCCTTACTAAATAAAGACATTTTGGTACTTAACTTTCTGTTCCACCCCAGGTCCTGCTGCTATCCTTGGGGTCACTGCATTCACCTATCATACTTTTATTAGTGATTTTTACCTCTCCTCTACTTCATAGACTGCTAAGGCTACTGTCTGGTTCTTGTCACCATTTGGAATAAATTTCTTCAGAATTTTAAGCATCTCCTTTTCTGATACCAACTGGTCATCTTTCCCCACAGCTGTAGGTCACAATGCTCATCTGTTGACAATCTTTACTGCTCCCCTCTAGTTCCAACTGATTTCCTCACACGTTGTCCTCCTCTCTCTGCTCTTGTCTTAGGAGCTTGGCACAGAATCTTGGTTCTCAAAGTGTCTGATGTCACCTCCTATCTAAATTGCTAAGAGAGACAGAAGAAAATCATAGCTCTTGCAAACTAGTCTCCAACCATAGTTGGGCCCCTGAGGGTTCTTGTAAACCTTCCCTTCTTGACTATTTGTTTTTCTTCTTTATGACTGGTCCAATCTTTCTTAAAGAATATTTTATTTATTATTTTATGTATATGAGTTACTGCCTGCATATGTGTAAGTGCATTGTGTTGTGCAATGCCCGTGGAGGTCAGAAGAGGTCGTCAGATCCCCTGGAACTGGAGTTATGGATGGTTTTTAGCTGCCATGTTGATGCTGGGAACCAAACCCAGTTCCTTTGAAAGAGCAGCCAGTGCTCTTAACTGCTGAACATCTCTCCAACCCTGACTGGTCCAATCTTTCACTACTCCAAAGGTCTTCCCTACTTAGTCCTTTCTCTGTTCCCTGATGGCAATTTTCTTCCCATGTCAGAGAAGGTGTATTTCCCTTGGCTAAAGACTAATTCATGTCTGTACCCTGGATCCCTCTTGCTTCCCAACACTTCTTTTTCCTCTTTGCTTAACTTCTTGGAAAGCTCATGTTAACAAACATTCCCAAGTGCTCCACTCTAAAAGAACTCTGGCTTACAGATCCCCTCATCTTACTTTATTCTCACCAAACTTCCCCTGATATTTCCTCAACAAGAGCACTCTGCTTTGTGTCTCTTGCTAAGATCGCCTGATCTACTGATTATTGACTCTAACAGGTATTCTATTCTTCAGGCCTAGTGCTAGGGGAAGATGTTTGGCTATGTTCTCCTTAGGACACTCTTGGCGTGTTCTGGCCACCATATGCTTGTCTTCGTTTTCTCCTTACTCTTGAATGTTCCGTTTCGTGCTTGGTAAGGTCCTCTTCCTGTTCCTGCCTCTTGAATCTGCTTTCCCGGAGTCCATATTGATAAGATGCTCTTTTCTTCCTACCTGTATTTCTGACTTCCTAAAAGTCAGTCAAACATGATTTGACTGCTATTCATTATGCTAATGACTTCCTAATACTTACCCCAGCTCTGCACTCTTCCTGTGAATCTGATCTGCAATAGTTGCTACCTGTTAGGTGTCTCCAAAATGACTCACAGGCCCTCTTCTGTTTCTTCTACGGCTAGTCCTCCATGAGTGGCATCACTATTCGGCTAGCACAGCATCCAGATAGCTAAACCTGGGAGATGCTCTCCATTCCCTCCTTCCTCACATTCTTCAAATCTTTCTAAATTTACCCAGTGAGTAAATTCAAATCTACCCTCTCTTCTTCAAATCTACAACTGTCCTAATTTAGGCCTTTCTTACCTCTGGTTTGGCCTGGTCTTATAACCTCTTAATTGGTCTTTCTAGTCTAGTCTCTCCTCAAGTTCAGATTTAATACAGCACTCAGTAGTGTACTCAAAACTGAATCCTGGGACTGGAGAGATGGCTTAGTGGTTATAAGCATTGAATGCTCTTGCTTAGGACCTGGGTTCAATTCCCAGCACCCACATGGCGGCTAACAACTGTCCATAACTCCAGTTCCAGGGGATCTGAATGCCTTCTTCTGATCTCCATGGGCATTGCAAGACACAGGTGCACTTACATACATGCAAGGCAATACACTCATACACATATAATAAGATAAAAATAATTAAAAAAACCACCAGAATCCTGTTTGTGCTTTGCCTCTGGTAAAAGCATTAGGTGCTTCTGGTAGCTTAACAATACCTACAAGATCAACTCCAAACTCCTTAGCATGAAGTTTATAATAATATAAGCCCTGATCTTTCCAGGTTTTCTTTGAGAAGTCTTGGTATGACATATCATGCTTTAGCAATCCCAAAGTACATACAGTTCTGGTACTACCTGTGCTATTTTCTACCACTGGCTCTGTCCCCTCTTCCTGGAAAGCTCTCCCCCCTCCCCAAACCAGATATACCATTCATTTAGTCTCAGACAAAGTGTCTCTCCTCAAGGAAGAGGGCCTTGAGAGCCCAGCTGGGGTTAGGAGTCCCTCCTGCAATTTCATACTACCCATAGCATATCTTTATTTTTTTATATAAGTATCTTTCTAAAGTGTATCTCCCCTACAAGATATTTTTAAAAAGTGATTTTTTACATCCTCATACCAAAGTTCAAATAAATGGTTGAAGGATGAAAGAATGAATCCTTTCCTGTCTCTTTTAGGCCTAGATCTTTGGCTCTGGTTTCTGTTATTTTCAAGTCAAGCCCAGAGCACCAATTATATTCCAGATTTCTGGGCAGGCACGATGGCAACTTTAGCCCCAGTCCCAAACAGTGGGGCAGCAAAGCTAGATTCTTTTTGGACTTTGGGAGCTCAGGAACAAGGGTGGGAGTGCTGTAGAACTGTGGTCAGCTTACCCCTGGAGCATAGTCTGCGCATAGCCGAGGCAGTACTTGGTGGGAGGCCACAAGAGGAAAGCAAGGGCCGATACCCATGAGTTCGAAGATTTGGGGAGGTGCTGACAAGGTTGGTGGGCTTCAAGGCAGAATCCATCAGACCTGGGTGTGTTTCCAAGGACCGGGGCAGACTATTCCCTAGGACAAAGGTTTCTCCTGGAAAATAACAAAAACAGGGTTAAAGTAGGGATTAGCTTAGAAGGACTGGCAGAGTTCTGGTTCCCACGTACCTGCCTGAGTGGATCAAGACATAAAGTCCTACTGGGACTTAGGAGGCCTGTGTATTAGTCATGGTGCTAGCCGTGGCCAATCTTAGGACTTACATTCCTTTCTGGACTCTGGTTTCTTTACAGACTCTTATTCTTAGCCTGGGACAGTCTTGATTTTTTTTTTCCCCCTAGGTGGATAAGAACAGCTTTAAAAACTAGAGCTACTTTAGGTGGAAAAGACTTCCTTAGTCACAAGATGTTAGAATGGGGATTAGAGGTAGCAGGGAAGGTATATATATATATATGCTCAGATGAGGGTTCTCTGTCTCTCTTTCCCTGTGGTCTGCAATGTATGAATGTGTATTTGTGTGTGTGGGTACATGTACCCATGTGTATGCATGTCGAGACCAGAGGAGGACACAGGGTGCCTTCTATTGCTTTCCACCTAATTCCCCTGAGACAGGGTTTCTTACTGACTCTGAAGGTTGCTGTTTGGATAGGCTGCCTGGCTAGTCAGACCCCAGGATCTGCCTGTCTTTGCCCCCACAATGCTAGGGTTATAAGTATACATGGCCATGGCCTAGCTTTTATGTGGATGCTGAGGATTCAAACCCAGGTCCTCAGACTTTCAGAGCAAGTGCTCTTACGCACTGATCCATCTCTTCAGGCCCCAGATGAGGATTTGTTTTTTGTTGTTTGTTTTTATGACATAAGGTATTCCTGTAGCTCCAGCTGGCCTGGAATTAGCTATGTAGACCCCGGTGGCCTTGAACACACAGAGATCTGTTTGCCTTTGCCTCCTGAGTGCTGGGATTAAAGGCATATGTCACCACACCTGACCAAATGAGGGTTCTTTAGAAGCAAATGCTGACCACCAAATTTCAGAAATGCTTCATGATACGTGGCTAAAGGTCTATCTGTAAAGGATCTGCTTCTTCATTCTTTTCAGTCATTTGTATTGATCCTGTTCTATAGAAACATGCCAGGCTGGGGGAGATCAGGCATGGAGACCAGGATCAGGGCTAGAATATGATTCTGTCACTTAGCAGACTGCTTCTCACTGTATCATAGGATACCCAGAAGTTCATCCTTCCATGGGGTTTGTGAACACCCGAAAGCCCTTGGAAAGGGAACCTCAGGCTGATTCTAAACTTCCATGGCCAACAGCATGCAGCAGTGCCCAGTGACCACACGATGCAATATGAAGTTGAGACTCCCTCTTAGGAAGGTTCTACCCAAACCAGGTCAGTTCCTTAGCCCTGGCCACAGCACTGACTTCACATGTGTTAGAGACTTGACTACCAGGACATATCACTGTCCTTAGTGTTTCCCTTGGAAAGGAGGTGTTTATATATAAATTCATCATCTGAGACTTTCAGTGGCAAAATGGCTTAGGATTATAGGGCTACTTCTAATACCCCAAATAGCTCAGCAACCATGGATTCAAAGTCAAATCTAGCATTCACCTCTGCAGGAGGTTAACTGTAGAAATCTTTTCTGAGAAGTGATCTAAGGAGAAATCTCTGAGGCTCTATAATATGTAAACCATGTCCCATACATGCTCTTTTTTGCAGTTGAGGTTCCTGGTTCCCACTTTTCAGGGGAAGATGATATGACTGTAGTGGATCCCACTTTGAGACATGAACAGAAACCCAACCCCCAAAGTAGGAGACCTGGTTCTGTTCCTGGCTTCTTCCTTTTGCTAGGTGAGTAGTTTGTCTTCTCTGAGAACCAGCTCCCTCATGTGTACAAAGGGGGGAAAAACCAAGGGAAAAGATGGAATGGGATGGACTTTATGAATACAAGGAACTGTTATTTTCCTGTCATCTGGAGTTAGGATAGCAAATCTGAGTTCTCTGCCATTTATCAGACAAAAAGAAAAACAATAAAAAAGATATGGTCTTGTTTTTGTATTTCCCAGCAGTCAGCTCACATTTCCAGCTCATTTTTACTCATACGTGATTGCAGACAGTGCTTTCTGCTTCTTGGAAGTTAATAGATGTGATGAGTAATTAAGATGATGGTGCTAGGCCTCACCAGAGGTGGACACAAACCAGTGTGAGTCTTCCTTGCTAAGGATGTCAGCTTAGATTTGAGGGATCTAGCAATCAGGATTGATGATGTCTGAATTAGGTGTGGTCATTAGGTCTTGTTCTAAGGAGATGTACTAGAAAAGTGAAGCATCATGCCCATGCTCTGTGAGGTGCTAGCTCTCTTAAGGCTGATCAGGTGGGATCCTGGCTGCCTTTGATAGGGGAAGGCCAGTGTAGAATTTCACAGCCCTTTCCAACTGTGCTCCACAAAGTCCCAGGGGCCTTTACAGGGAAGCTCTGAGCCTCATCCCAGTTTCGATCAAAACATTTCTGGTTTTAACTTTTCAGTACTAGAGGATCTAGTATTTTTACCTTTGTGAAAAAAATGAGTTATGGAAAAACAGTACATTTCACTGGCTCAGGTATGCAAGGCTTGAAAGACTTGACTTCTATTTCTGGCATAATCATTGGTCAATAATCAGTATATTTTTTCTGGGAGTCAGTCTGTCTATCTATTGAGATGGAGATGAAAACTCTCTAACCATCCAGAGTTAATGTAAAATTTTCCATTGTGATGCTGGAGACAAGTGGGCAATAACCGCTCAGCACCCTCTGTGTGCTGCTGCTCTGCTGGGTGTGGGTGGGCAGAAGTGAGGCCCTTGCTCCACGCACACACGGTCAGTGAGAGGCAGTTCTTCTCAAGGATCCTACTGCAAAGTTGCCCTGAAAGACTGGAGGGTGGTCAGGATGGGAGTATGGAAACTTGAGGTTGTGGCAGGGTTTGGAAAGGGCCTAGAGAGGTGGATTCTGGAGAAAAGTCACAGGAGACAAATACTCCCCAGGGCAGCCTGGGAAGGCAGGAAGGCCTGAGTTGTTCTTTTGGAGAACAGAGAGTAGAACAGGGGAAGATGTTCTAAGAAGGCAGATATCAGGTCAAAAAAGGAGGGCATTTTAGCCAAAAGAACCATCCAACAATAGGATGGATTGCCAAAAGCCCAAAGAAAGTAATCTGTCTTTGGGGTCTTTAAGCAGGTCAGACAGCCACTGGACTACCTCTAAAGCACTTGCTATTTCTGAAGTTCAAGAATTCCAGGCTCATAGCCAAGTTTTCCCCTGAAGAGTGAACCAAGAAAACATGGAGCTAGAGTTGTAGATCAATTCTCACTCTAGCACAGAATCTAGAAACAAATGCAGGCCACAAGCATGCTGATGGCATACCCATATTAAAGAATGTCTGTTTCTGAAGCATATACCCACAATTTCTACTGTTCTTTCATCCAGAAAATTCTATGAAATTCCATGTAACACGTAAGGTGATGAATAGTGAGAATGCTGCAAGAGCTGGTCCCCCTCTTCATGAGACATGTAGTCTTGATGGGAAGGATGACAAAATGCAGTATATTAAAAAATGCAATGCTGTAAATATTATAAATGAATATACTAAAAACAGTATTCAGACAAACAACCCTCTCAGAATGAGCAACCCTAAGAAGGATCTTTGGAAACTGGATGTTTAAGTTGCTCTGCAGAACAGTGTGGCCACCTGAGAAGTGGATGTATTCCTGAGAGGGTATGTCAATGAGCCCATCAGTGCCCTAAACCTCTGGCAGTCTTATGAGGACACCAAGATGGTGATGAAAGGCACCTTCAGAGACTTTGCAGTTCTTACTTGTCTTTTATCTGTGAGCTTCAGGATTTTGGAAATGGAATCACTTTATAACTAACTCTGAAGATTGGATGGCAGCTAGAAAGAAAGGCACAAGGAACTCATTGTCCTGGGAGAAGTGAGCCACTTCCTCTAGCAGAGAGGAACCAGGAAATCTCAAAATAGCAGATCTAGAGGCTAATGCTGGGCAGATTTCCATCACCGCTAACTTTAATATTCACAGCAACCAAGTGAATGAATAGTTCCCTGCCTTGTATTACCAAGTTTTAGGGAGCCCAAAGGAGTTCCCTTACTTTAGTCTCTACAACTTGGCTCAGAACATGTGTGATTCTGTAGGTCTGTTGTGATGCTTTCTACCCCAGGAATCTTCTTATCCTCTCTCCTTTCACTCTAATCTTTCTCATCATCAGTGTCTAGGCTGGCGCATCTCTGCTCCATGTTCTTAATCACACACAATCACACCCTTCTCCCTTTCTTAGCTCTCTGAGTACAGGGGTTCAGTTTGTTTTGCCTCTGTATCCCCAGGATCCAGAATGGAACCTGGCCGAGAGTGAGCACTCAGTAAACATTTGATGATCTAAAGCACTGGTCCTTCAAAATACCAGCACAGGTCACAGAAGATAGAAAAGGAGTGGAAAAGAGTGGAACATGGTACTAGGTCCATGGTTCTAGGTAAAGGAAGCCGATTAACAGGACAATGAAATACATCAAATGATCTTTTGTTGGATCCTGGACTAGGGAAAAACATAAAATAGCTCTAAAGGAATTACTGAGACAAATGGGGGAAATCTTGACCTGGATGGTACATTAGACAGGAGTATTTTATTTATATTAAATTTCTTGAGCATAGACATATTGCTTTTCCTCCTGCCCACCCTCTGCTCTCTTCCTTCTTCCTTGCCTCCATTCTCTGTCTCTCTGTGTGTATCTCTTTCTCTCTTTCTCTGAGACAGGGTCTCACTGTATTGTCTGGACTACCCTTGGACTTGAGAACTGCTTGCCTCAGTTTCCTGAGGGCTTGGATTATAGGTGTGTGCAGCTGGGTTTTGTGATCTTTTAAAAAAGATATATACAAAAGAATTTAAGAATAAAGTCTCTTACAGGTAACTCCTGAGTATTAAATAATTAGCCATATATAGTATGCAAAATATACAGATACAAATATGTATATAAACAGATAAAGCAAATATTGCAAAGTTAAATAGTGTCTCTCAGTAAGGGCTCATTGTATTGTTTCTTTTTGCAGGTTTGTTTTCTGTAGGTTTGAAAATTTCCAAAATAAAACAGTAAAAAAAATAATAGTCTTAACTTAGGTAAGGAAGCTTAAAAGGATATGAACTTTTGGTGGTTACTGTCATACTAGAAGTATATGGCTGGCTGGGCCAAAGCCATGGGGATAGGGCACTGTGGTGATAAGACAGGAGGGAGGGAAAGAGTTCCAGTAAGCACCCAGACAGATAGGTGGGACCTATAGAAGTCACACCGGTAGAAGTATGTGGCTAGGCAGATAAGCAGAGGTAATAAAAGCCAGTTTCAATGGTAAAGCAAAAGAAAGTCTAGTACCGATGAAGCAGGAAGGTAACCAAAAACCAGAATAAGGGGTCAGTAAGACAGTCAGGCAGGCAGGCAGGGAGATAAGCTATGAGCACAGAGGAGTTAGAAGTCCAGACAGGGCCCTGGCTTGTCTGGGCACAGTTAAAACATTGCTTTGGACAAGCAAATAGAAGCCAGGAGGGACACAGACAATGCCCTGAACACCAGCCATGAGAAATTGAACTTGGAGAGCAGAAGAGGGTGAGTTGGTGCAGTCTGTCTGGAAATGGGCAGGTTGAGGAGGCAGCCAATAGCTGAAAGTGACACCCCAGTCCTTTGTCTTTCCTTTTAGTTGCTGAGACAGGAAAGAAGAGTCTGGATGAAGCTTGCTTCTTTTATCTGGTGTTGAATTACAGCAACGTCAATCAGAATTCTCAGGAAAGGTTGTGCCAATTCATGACTCGAGGGCCATCACGTGCAAGTTCCTAGCAGCCTCTGAATGTTGCGGCCAGTGCATTTTTCCAAGGTCCTTAATGACACAATTCTGAGTTTCTATTTCTTTGAGAAATTTCTTTAGCAGCTGCCCTCATGGACATGCCACTCCCTCGCACACTTCTTCACGAATGGCAGTTGGTCTTTTGTTATGGAAAGATGGCCCCAGGGCTTGGGACAATGGCTGGAAATATTTAAAAACTTGCATTTGTCTGTACCAACTCTGCCATGTCCAGTACAACATACTTAACTGTAGGTCTGCTCTTACAGGTTCTGATGCTGGAACAGGCAATCTACAACAAGTAGTGGAGAAGTTCTCTCTGAAGAAAAGATCCAGCCAGGGCAGCACAGTACAGCTGCAGGAAACAGATGTCTGGTTTCCACACAGAGGTATGTAGAATTTAGGTATCTTTTCACCCCACCTACAAGTCACATAAGCAATTCTCATTTGGATGCAGAGGGGTTAGAGGAGAAGGAAACTGGGTGTGTGGTCACTTCCGTAAACACATTCTCCAGAAATGCTACTTTAATCAGAAGCTGTTCTATTAAGGGTTTGATGAAAAGACAACAGAGAGGGCAACATGGGAACAGGACTCATGTAGAGGGTCCCAGGGCACTTTTCAGACTCACGTTCCCCATGGCAGAGTGTGCAGTACAAGGCTTACTGTACTTCCTTTCTACTCTCTGCTCAGGACACCATCTGCAGGCTCTAAAAGATCTATTCCTCCCTCTCAACAGCAACCTACCTTGCTATGTTTAGGACCGACCGAGCTTTTCAACCCCCCTTCGTTCTGCGTCCTGTGCTTCAGATTAGAGATGCCGAGCTCCATTCACTCTTCAAGCCCTCTCGGAAGTGCTTAGTCACTGACCCAGCCACGTGGCATCCGCTTTCTCATTGTGGCTCTGGTATGTTAACTAAAAAGTTATTTTCCAGCCTAGCTGCAAACAGCAGGAACTTGAACTGACTTGTTAGACTGGCAATGCTAGAAGAGTTAGGGCTATGTGCCAAAGGAAGGAATGGATGGCCACTGTGCCAATTTCTCAATCTCTAGCCTGCAACTAAACCTTGCTGCTGGCTAAGGAGAGCTATATAAGGCCTCTGCTGCCAGATTCACTCTGGGAGACATACTGGACTTTAGAGGGTTTCACATGTGGTTTGTAGCTCAGAAGGGAATCAGAGGCCAACTTCAGAGATAAGGTACCAGAGGAAAGAAGAGTAATTCTAGAGACAGATGACAAAATCCTAAAGAATTAAGATGACAAGAGATTAAAAAGCCCTAGATGTGGCAAAGGTAAGGGTCAGGAAACCAGATCTTTGGACAGTAGGTGTTAGGCTAGCAGGTCTGAGGGCTGCCCATGGACCTTTGCAGGTGTTGCTGCCAGCCCTGCCCCCTCTCAGCCCAGGCCCCATCCCAGCTCCTACCTGGTAGGTACCTGTCGTGACTGTGGCTGTATTCTGTGGCAGTGAGTGATGAATGAGTCTGTGTAAAGGGCTGGTTGCCAAACAGGTTGTCACTCCGAAGGTTGTGGCAGAGCTTCTCCAGGAAGCGGAGGACATAGGTGATGCTGTTGACTGCTGGGAGGTTGAGGGTATGCTGTTCTCGGTCAAACACAGCTGTAGAGTTAAGTAAACAGAGTCACACACATCAGCTGTGCAGTGCAGTGTGGTGCTGTGCAATTCAGTGCAGCACTGGGCAGGAGAAGCCTTGCCCAACTGCTTGTCCTGGGCTTGGCTGGTTACACAAAGGCAATCAGTACCCAGGCTGCTTGCCTGCTTGCCTCCCTCCTGTGGCCCTCCCTTACTCAAGGGCTTTGATTTTTGCTTCTGACTCCAAAGAGTGTACAATAATGGGAGTGGCCAGGCCAGGTCTGTTGCACCCTTAGGGCTCTGGAATGATTTCACTCAACTTGTGAAAACAACTGTGAACATAATTCTATCTGCTTCATCACCTGGCTGGGCCTCTTTCGGGAAATGTGTTCATTTAGGGTGCTGTTTTCACAAGAAAACTGCCCAAGAACAAGGAGGCTATGCAGCTGAAGAGAATACCACCACTGCCAGCAATGGCTTAGGAACACAAGGACGCTAGATTTAGGAAACATTTGGAACTGTTTCATGCTTGGTTTTATTTTGTGCCCTATCTAACCCTATAGAAATATTGACATAATTTTAAAAAGTAAAAGGCCTATGTAACTGTCTCTCAGGAAGTGAGGAAATGGAGATCTAGAGAGATAGGGCATGCTCAGAAGCTAGTTTTGAGGAAGAGGAGGAACTCTTAAGAGAGTTGGTGAGTGCAGCTCAATGCAATAAAGAAGGCCGAGAGCCTGCAGACTGTTGCAGAGAAGCAAAGGATAGGTCAGGGAGTGGTCTGGACCTCAAACTTAATTATGAGCAGTTCCTAGCCTTCTATAATAATTTCTTCTCTGTCTGTTCCCATCTTCCATGCAGCCAATTACTGCCTGGACCCAGCTTTCCAACATTTCTCTACTGTTACCCTTCTATTGACTATTTAGATTTTCTTTTTTAAATTTTTATTTTAATATTTTATTTTATTATTTTTATTTTATGTGTATGCGTGTATTGCTTGCATGTAGGTAAGTGCACCCATGTTGTGCAATGCCCATGGAGGACAGAAGAGGCTGTCGGATCCCCTGGCACTGGAGTTAAGGACAGTTGTTAGCTGCCACGTGGGTGCTGGATTCGAACCCGGGTCTTCTGCAAGAATAGTCGGTGTTCTTAACCACAGAGCCATCTCTCCAGCCCCTAGATTTTCTTTTCTATCAGTGCAGACCTGAGCCTGTCATCTTCTGCTCTTTCCCTTTCTGGGTCAGTTTCTAACATTAACTTCAAACATGCAGCAAAGGCTCAGTAAGTGTTTACTAAAAGAACAGTTTGGTTATTTATGGGATATTCCATGTCAGCCAGGTTTCTAAAGCTGGTTACAGCAACTTGTTGAGGAGGAGGAGAAAGGGACTGTGGAATAACATTAAGGTCAAGACTGGAAGGCTGTAGGACAAGTCTTTATAGGTCTGGTGGATAAAGAATAAGATTTTGGACTTAGAAAAATTGAAACAGAAATAGGGCACAGAAGAAAAGTATTTTCAGTGACAGCAAAAAATACCATGTTGCTAAATCAAATTCTCACTTCCCCTCTGTCCTGGGATTCAACTCCTTTCAGTCTGGGTCTGGTATAAGACCCAGAAGCTAAGGAGTCAGAGGAATGAGAGAAGTCAGAGGTCCCCTGAAGCCAGTGGGGAAGGTTGTGACAGTCTGGAGAAATTCTCTTGTCATAATACAGCCTCTCCATATTCTTCCTCTGGAATGGTTTTAAGCCATACTCATATTTTCTGTGGGGACAGGAGAGGAATCGGTTAAGAGGCTCAGTTAGGCAGTGTTCTTAGCAGAGGTATACATATGGCTCAGCACAGCTTGGGAGCTAGAAATGAGGACTCTTGAGGAATAAGATACTTCGGCATTTCTCCAGAGCTTAGAGGTATGAAGTAGGAATGAGGATGTTTTATCAGAATGATGCCCTGCCCCTCTGGCTAGAAGGCCATACCAGCCCAAGAGTGTTTACCTGAGATGACCTCACCGCCGTGGCCCTGTTTGAGGAAGCTGAAGACAGTTTTCTGATGATAAGCACAGTCAATGCAAGCCTGGACAGCCTGCTGCAGCACCACAGAGGCACGGGCTGGCCCAAAATGGTCAGGAAGTTGCTGGATCTTCTTCTTATCCAAGTGCGGGCCTGTACTGCCACTCTTGTTCAAGTAGATACAAACTACAGGAGACAAAGGACCCAAAAACTTACAGTGTGCCTAACATGGAGAATCAGAGAGAGCAGTGTTCTCTTCCATTTGTTAAACCCTAGGCTTGGCTCCCCATCAGGATTCCCAAAAACTACACTGCAGAACACTGTGGGAAACAAAGGGTGAGGAATAAAGCCTGTTCCCAGCTGCCACCAGTCCAAGCAGCATGACCAAGGGCTCTGGGAACACAGCCTACTGGAAAAGCAACCGAGACCTAAAACCAAGGCACAGAATTTACACTTTGTTTTCTGGGCCCTGAAAAGAAAATCTAAACAATTTCTTAAGATATAAGCACTTGGTTGCTTTGCAACTCTTCTCTTACATATGTAAAGAACTGTGGGGTCATGGCTATACTAGCAAGAATGTAAATGCTTGGCAATGAACTTATAATTGTCACACCATTGGTCAGTTGTCTTGATTTTCTGTTCTGTGTCTTAAGAGTTCCTTTGTTATCTTTTATCAACATTCAGACCCAAAGAAAGATGTAAAAACAGAAAAAAACTAAAAGAAATTTTAACAAAAGGGCCTATAGTTCTAAGCTCTGTATTTTTTTTCAACAGTTCTCCTGTTCAGACAGTCAGGAACTTTCCTGAACCCGGCATTGTGGTGGGCGAGGTGTGCATGTAGGGCGCACATGAGACCCTGTTGTTTCCTTGGGCTCCGGGGAGGACCCACAACAGCCTGGTCAGCAATGACATTGTCTCCTCTGATCTTTCCCCAGCCATGCACAAAGGCTACTGTTCTTTATTGCACTACCTGAAGGAGTAAGAGGCATAAGTCTATTTTTTGCTACTGAGGGCAAAAATCATCAGGGCAGGAGCTATGTGGGCTCTGGGTGGGTTGCCCTCCTCTTTGTCTCTCAGGTTCACCATCTGTAAGATGAGGAGATGAGCTAGGTGTTTTCTGAGGAATCCCTACCTCTACAGTACTTTTAAAGAACAGCAACATGGCAAGAAGAGAATGGAAAACAGATAGCTGATAAATTGGATGGAGAAGTAACAGAAGAAGGAAGGAAAAACTGAAAATCATGAATGAGATGATATGAATGTGTACATTTAACTTTGTTCTTTCCCCAAACTTTCTAAGATCTACCAGATAACAAGAGAAGAGACAGTGAATGAAACCATGGAGACTGGAAAGCAGACTAGAAGAGCAACCACTCACTTACCAGACCCCAGGAAGCAAATCTCCTAAAGCAGGAAGGGGGACTGATGAGAACACACTGCTTCATCTCCTGATTTAAAATGAGGCCTAAGTACTGGTAGAATAAGGTATCTATGGAGATGGATATAAAGGTGGATCAGAGAAAGATCAGTCTAAGTCTGCTAAGAAATATGGACCAGGGGGCTGTGGAGATGGCCATTTGAAAAGGCACTTGCTGCACAAGCTTGAGGACTGGAGTTTGGATCCCCGGAACTCATTAAATGCTGGTAGGTGTTTATTTCCTGTATTACCTATAATTTCAATACTCAAAAAGTGAAAACAGGGGATCCCAAGCTAGATAGACTTGCCCATTCTGGTGATTCTGAGGGACCCTGCCTCAACTAATAAGGTAAAGAGAGACTGAGGAAGACTCTTGGCATCAATCGTAGGCCTCCATATGTACACACACACACACACACACACACACACACGCACACACACAATAAGAAAAAAGGAGAGAGGGCATGGTGTTGCATACCAGTAATCCTAGCACTCAGGAGGCTGAGACACAATTTTGAGTTCAGGCCAGCCTGGGGCAACACTCAGCAGTAGACTCAAAAAATAATTAAAAAACAAACAAAAATATCAACAAACAGAAAATAAAGGAAGCAAAGAAGGAAGAGAGGCAAGGGAAGAAAAGAAAATTCGGATTTTCATGTTTGGCAATATGACCCTTTTACTGAAATCACTAAAATGTGGGAACTCAGAGAAAAAAGAGAATTTAAAAAAATGGTTATCACAAGACTCGTATACAAATATTCATAACAGTTTACTTACAATAACCTAAAATTAGAATCTTCTCAAATGTCTACCAACAGGAGAATAAACACACAAATTGTGGTATGTTCATTAAATGGAATATCACAAACTCAAACTACTGATAGGAGCAACAACGTAGGTACTTTTCAAAATTAGGGTTTTGTTGTTGTTGTTTGAGACAGGGTCTCTCTATAGCCCCAGCTGGCCTGGAACTCACTATGTAGACCAGGCTGCCCTTGATCTCACAGAGATCCTCCTTCTTCTGCTTCTTGAGTGCTAAGATTAAAGGCGTGTACCACCATGCCTGGCCCCCAAATTAGTTTCTTTGAGTGAAAGAAACCAGATACAAGAGTATATACAACACGACTAATTTATATTAAGGTCAAGAACTGGGAAATCTAATTTATGGTATAAAAACCACAAGTGTGCCTGACATGGTGGCACACGCATGTAGTCCCGGCACTTGGGAGGCAGAGGCAGCCAGATCTCTGTGAGTTCAAGGCCAACTTGGTCTACATAGTGAGGTCCAGGTCAGCTGGCTACAGGGAGACACTGTCTCAAGACCAAAAAAAAAAAAAAAAAAAAAAAAAAAGAAAAAGAAAAAGAAAAAGTCACAAAGTGGAGGCAGAGACTGATCATGAAGAACCTGCGGGAACTTCTGGGGTGGCGGAAGTGTCATTGTCTTTATCATGGGGTGGGGGGTGTTGAGTTCCACAGGTGCTGACATTTATTAAAACTCAGCAAATTGTACATGAGTACAATATACTTACACCTAAGATTTGCACACTTCACTGCTGCAAATTTTACTTTTATTATATAACACACAGAATAGAAAATATGGAACTAGGTTGAGGATTTAAAAATTAATTATGCATGGATATATGGTTAAAAAAACTATGAGAAACTATATGTTGCAAAACTATGCAACCTTTAGAAGACTGTTAGTTTTAAAACATGGCTCTGAAAGTCTTTGCTAGCCTTCTTACTGATCTCTGTCACACTTGACTGATAAGACAGTGGTGGAAATGACACTGTGCCAGTTTCTGGGTTCACAATGAACAAACCAGCAGCTTCCACTTTCTGTTTCTTGGGACTTTCACTCTTGAATACCAACTACTATGCGTGAGAAAACAAAGCATCCTGTAGAATAGTCTGTGTGGAGAAAAGCCAACAGCCACAACCAATTTGCTGCATGTGGGAAAGAGGAGCCCCAGACCTAGTCACCTCCACTTCGCCTCTCCCAGCTGGAACTGTATGTAATAGATGAGCTGTCTCCACCCAGTCCTGCCCTTACTGTTGTTTTACACTGCGAAGTTTTGTAGTAGTTTGTGATATAGCAAAGCCTATCAGAACAGATTCTGATACAAGAGGCTAGACACATCTTGGAACAAGGTGGAAGAAAGCAGCACAAGCAGAGTACTAGTGAAAACTGAGAGCGCCTTGGGGGTATTATTACTACTGTTTATTCTTTAGTGCTGGAGATTGAATCCAGGGTCTCACTCAAGCTAAGTAAGTGCTCTTCAGCGTTCAGTGAGCTATATTCCCAGCCCCGTTGAGGGGAGTTCTAATGGAGGCTATCAGTGAGAGTTTGAAGGAACGTGAGGACAATGTTATTGGAAGGCGGAGAATAAGGAACATTTGCTGGAAAGTGACTGAAAATTTGATGCCTATAGTGACATGAGAACAGGAAGTATTCTTGATGAGCTTGGTGAAATAGTTAAGATTTCTTTCTTTCCTTCCTTCCTTCCTTCCTTCCTTCCTTCCTTCCTTCCTTCCTTCCTTCCTTCCTTTCTTTTTTTGAGCTTTTCTAAACAAGGTCTTCCTGTAGTGCCAGCTGGCCTGAAACTCACTATGTAGACCAGGCTGGCCTTGAACTCACAGAGATCCTCCTGCCTCTGCCTCCCAAGTGCTGGGACTACAGACGTGCACCACCACGCCCGGCTAATAGTTAAGATTTCTAAAACCATCAAAGTACTACCTGCCTTCTCAGTACTTATGATGAAATGTAGGCTGAGAGGTAAGCTTTTAAAATGTCTACATACACACATCTGAAACCTTCAGAGCTTACAAAACAACACTGCTTTACATCTCTAGAGTTTTCAGGAAGCCAACCGTGTAATTAAAGACAGGGCCAAAGATCAATTCCAGGATGAGATGAAATCCTTTATTAAGATGCCAGTAAGTTCTAGGAATATGATTGCTAGATTTTTTCAGGCCCAAAGCCTCTCTAGGAATATTAAGGGTAATCCTTGTAGATCCTTTCCTACACAACAAAAATTTTAAGACTTTCAGGGTACTGCAGTTGCACAGGAGGCCCAAAGTAGAGAAGCGTTTATCTTTAGAGACCTGTGTGATTTTTGTCTCATGAGGTGAATCTTGATGGTATTCATTCAGAGAAAACACTCAAACATGGACTAGAAGGTTCAGAGACAGTATAAAATGGAAAGCATCTGGTTTCTTTCTATTTCTTAATCTCTTTAGACTCCCTACTTTTCACAGGCAGGGAAAAATGATAATATTTAGGCTACTGACATGTAAGATTATTATTGATAGATGGATTATTGACTGCCATATTTGAATTTCCATAGACTAAGTGACTGCTGACTGTTACAAAAGTTATCTTAATATCTGGCCCACAACTGCATGTTTGGTATGTGATGAATGAAGAACCAGTTTCTTTAGTCCAGGTCTTCTGATGGTGAGGAAGCACATCAAGTTAGTATGGCTGTGAAACTTCTCATAGGAGGCCTGCATCTCATTCAGAGGATGAAATGCTAGGCCTGTACCCTGATACTGTAAAGAGATGAGACTTTGATGAAGAATCTTGTGAGGGGTAAGAATTAACTTCTCAAGTAGGAAAAATGTAAATAACTTGTGTTTAGAGAGTTGGCTAAAATGGTTTAAAAATATATTCCATGATTCTTTTAACCTTCCTCCACTGAGAGGTGAGGTCTATTCCCCTTTTCTTGAATCCAGATTCTGTGGCTGACTGATCAATAGAATATGGTGG